GCCTCCCGGGTTTAAGTGATTTTCCTGCCTCAGCCTCCCGAGGAGCTGAGATGACAGGCGCCCACCACCACACCCAGCTAATTTTTTGTTTTTAGTAGAGACAGGTTTCACCATGTTGGCCAGGCTGGTCTCAAACTCCTGACCTCAAGTGATCTGCCCCGCCACCCCCTCAGCCTCCCCAAGTGCTGGGAATATATGCATGAGCCGCCATGCTTGGCTCACTCTCCAGTTTTCTATATGGTCTTAAGTTCTAAGAAATGGGTTGTCAGGCAGTTTCATCATGGCGTGAACATCATAGAGTGACTTACGCAAACCTAGATGCACAGCCTCCCCCGCACCTCGGCTGTCTGGAGTAGCCCATAGCTCATAGGAGACGAGCATGCACAGCATTTTACCGTAATGAACACAGCGGGCAACTGTAACACAGTGGCAAGTATTCGTGTATATAAACATATCTGAATGTTAAGGTACAGTAAAATACAGTATAGAAGATGACAAGTGGCCTGGGCGTGGTGGCTCACACCTGTAATCCTAGCACTTTGGGAGGCTTAGGTGGGCAGATCACTTAGGTGAGGAGTTTGAAACCAGCCTGGCCAACATGGTGAAACCTCGTTTCTACTACTAAAAATACAAAAATTGGGGAGGGAAGGAAAAAAAAAATACAAAAATCAGCCGGGCATGCTGGCATGTGCCTGTAATCCTGGCTACTTAGGAGGCTGAGGCAGGAGAATCGCCTGAACCGGGGAGGTGGAAGTTGCAGTGAGCAGAGATCATTCCAGCCTGGGCGATAGAGTGAGATTCCATCTCAAAAATAAATAATAAATACATAAATAAAGAGGTCAAATGGTTCACCTCTACAGGACACTTAACCATGAATGCAGCTTGCAGGGCTGGGAGTTACTCCAGGTGAGTCAGTGAGTGAGGGGCGAGTGAACTGAAGGCTAGGATGGCACTGTACATACTGCAGGCTTTAGAAGCACTGTACTCTTAGGCCACACTACATTTTTAAAAAATAAAGTAATTGTGCTGCAACATGGTGACACTGAAGCATCACTAGGTGACAGGAGGTTTTCGGCTTCGTTGTCATTTTATGGGGCGTTGTCACATGTGCAGTCCATCGCTGACGGCAACGGCGTTACGCAGCACCTGACCGTGTATGTTACACAGTCACAATACAGGCTGGGTGTGCTGGCTCACGCCTGGAATCCCAGCACTTTGGGAGGCAGAGGTGGGATGACTGCTAGAGGCCAGGAGTTTCAGAGCAGCCTGGGCAACATAGTGAGACCTTGTCTCTACAAAAAAAAATTAAAAATTACAATTACCCATGTGTGGTGGTGCGTATCTACAGTCCTAGCTACTGGGGAGAGTGAGGCGGGGGATTGCTTGAGAGCTGGAGTCTGAGGTTACAATGGGTTACTGCACTCCAACCTGAGGACAGAGAAAGGTCATGTCTCTAAAAAAATACAGTGTTATGTAGCTTTTCTATCTTTTGAGATGGAGTCTTACTCTGCCTCCCAGGCTGGACTGCAGTGGCACCATCTCTGCTCACTGCAACCCCACCTCCCAGGTTCAAGTGATTCTCCTGCCTCAGCCTCCCAGGTAGCTGGGATTACAGGCACCTGCCACCACTCCCGGCTAATTTTTACATTTTTGGTAGAGATAGGTTTTCGCCATGTTGGCCAAGCTGGTCTTGAAATCCTGGACTTAAGTGATCCACCCACCTTGGCCTCCCAAAGTGGTGGGATTACAAGTGTGAGCCACCACCTCCAGCCTTATAACTTTTACTTTAAACAATTATATATATATAAAATTTTATGTATTTTTCTGTTTATTTCGAGACAGAGTCTTGCTCTTGCTGGAGTACAGTGGCACAATCACAGCTTACTGCAGCCCCAACCTCCCAGTCTCCAGCAATCCTCCCACCTCAGCCTCCTGAATAGCTGGGACTGAACTATAGGTATGCACCAGCATGCCTGGCCAGTTTTTGTATTTTGGGTAGAGATGAGGTTTCGACATGTTGCCCAGGCTGGTCTTGAACTCCTGAGCTCAAGCAGTGCACCCACCTTGGCCTCTCATTGAAAAGAAATTAAAAGAAGAAAAGAAAAATACATTTCTGGAGCTCTTCATTCCTTCCTGTGGATTTGAGTTTCTGTCTGCTGCCATTTGCAGTGTGAAGGATTTCCCTGAGTATTTTCTAAGTTGAAATGCTAGCCAGGAATTCTCTTTATTTTTACCTGGGAGTGGTTTTCTTTTTGCCTTCCATTTTGAAGTATAGTTTTGTTGAATGTGGAATTTTTAAGGTTGACAGTTTTATTTTTCTTTCAGTGTTTTGAATAAATCATTCGACTGCTTTCTGGCCTCCATCATTCCTAGGAGAAGCTGGCCATTTGTTCTTTTTATTTATTTATTTATTTATTTATTTTTGAGGCAGAGTCTTGCTCTGTTGCCCAGGCTGAAGCACAGTGGCTGGATCTCAGCTCACTGCAAACTTGTCTCCCGAATTCAAGCAATTCTCCTGCCTCAGCCTCCTGGATAGCTGAAATTATAGGTGCACGCCACCACACCTGGCTAATTCTTGTATTTTTAGTAGAGATGGGGTTTCGCCATGTTGGCCAGGCTGGTCTTGAACTCCTGACCTCAGGTGATCTGCCTGCCTTGGCCTCCCAAAGTGCTGGGATTACGGGTGTGAACCACCGTGCTCAGCTGAAGTTAGCCGTTAGTTCTATTGTTCCCTGTACATAATGAGTTGTTTTTCACTTGCTCCTTTAAAAATTTCCATTTGCCTGGCGCAGTGGCTCATGCCTGTAATCCTAGCACTTTGGGAGGCCGAGGTGGGTGGATCACCTGAGGTCAGGAGTTCAAGACAAGCCTGGTGAATGTGGAGAAACCCCATCTGTACTAAATGTACAAAAATTAGCCAGGCATGGTGGTGCATTGCCTGTACATCCACTCACTCAGGAGGCTGAGGTGGGAGGATCACTTGAGCCCAGGAGTTCGAGGCTACAGTGAGCTGTGATCGTGCCACTGCACTCCAGCCTGGGTGACACAGTGAGACCTTGTCTCAAACCAAACCAAACCAAAAAAAAAGCCCTTTTTTTTTTTTTTTGAGATGGAGTTTCGCTCTTGTTACCCAGGCTGGAGTGCAATGGCGCGATCTTGGCTCATCGCAACCTCTGCCTCCTGGGTTCAAGCAATTCTCCTGCCTCAGCCTTCTGAGTAGCTGGGACTACAGGCACGCGCCACCATGCACAGCTAATTTTTGTATTTTTGAACTGTTTTCAGCAGGTTGGCTGTGATGAATCTAGGTGTGGCTCTCTTTGTATTTATACTTCTTGGAGTTTGTTGAGCTCCTTGAATCCATAAATGAACGTTTACACCAAGTTTGATAAGTTTCCAGCCTTCCATGCTTCAACATTTTTTCTACTCCTTCCTCTCCTCTCCCCAGAGTCCTATTATATGTATGTTGGTTGCTTGATGTTACTCAGCTGGTCTCAGAGGCTCTTTTCTTTTCTCTTTTTTTTTTGAGGCAGAGTCTCGCTGTGTTGCCCAGGCTGGAGTGCAGTGGTGCAATCTCGGTTCACTGGGATTACAGGCATGAGCCACCGTGCCCGCCCTGGAAAGTGTCTTGAAAGCTACACAGAGTTGAATTTTGTTGACTTACTCGAGTAACTTTCATATATTTGCATAATTTGTAATTTGCATAAATATTTGCATAACATTGTAATTTGCATGATGTAATCGATATGCTTGGTCTTACTTAGGTCAGCGTTTGATGCTTTCTGTTTTTCTTTTTTATGATTTGCTGCATTTTTCTTTGCTTTTTGACCATTGCCAAATTATATATATATATATATATATATTTTAAGACGGGGTTTCACCGTGTTGGTCAGGCTGGTCTTGAACTTTCATCCTCAGGTGATCCGCCCACCTTGGCCTCCAAAGTGCTTGGATTACAGGCGTGAGCCACTACGTCTGGCCCATTGCCAAATATATTACATTTTCTTTTCCTTTCTTTTTTTTCTTTTTTCTTTTCCTTTCATTTTAAGCTACTTTGGGATTTGAACGTTGTACATCCAGCCAGGTGTAGTGGGTTAGGCCTGTAATCCCAGCACTTTGGGAGGCTGAGGCAGGTGGATCACCTGAGTTCAAGAGTTTGAGATCAGCCTGGCTAATATGGTGAAACCCCATCTCTAATAAAAATACAAAAAATCTGGGCTCAGGCATGGTAGCCCGTGCCTGTAATCCCAGCTACTCGGGAGGCTGAGGAAAGAGAATTGCTTGAACCTGGGAGGCGGAGGTTGCGGTAAGCTGAGATCTCGCCGTTGCACTCCAGCCTGGGCAACAAAGGGAGACTCTGTCTCAAAAAGATGAACCAAACATCAGCGCAGCTCTGAGGAGACATGCGACGCGGATGGATGCCAGGACACAGTCAGCATCTTGCGTAGTGAGCAGCCACTGTGTGTCACATCCCACCTACGGACTCGTTTCCTTCCCACAGCAACCCTCCCAGGTAAGCCCTATTATCATCCGCATTGCAGAGGTGAGGAAACGGAGGCACAGAGAAGTTAAGTGACTTGCCCAAAGACACACAGGCGTAGGTGGCAGCGTAGGACTGGAACCCAGGTGCTCTGGCTTCTAATCCAGGCCGGCTGTAGGCACTCCCACATGACTCTCGTGGAGGTGGGGTGGGCTTGGCAATGTAAGGAGAAAGCAGTTTGTTTTGAGATGGAGTTTTGAAGGCTGGAGCGCAGCGGCACAATCTCAGCTCACCGAAACCGCCACTTCTCGGATTCAAACGATTCTCCTGCCTCAGCCTCCTGAGTCGCTGGGATTACAGGCATGCATCACCACGCTCGGCTAATTTTGTATTTTTAGTAGAGATGGGGCTTCTCCATGTTGGTCAGGCTGGTCTTAAACTCTGACCTCAGGTGATCCGCCTGCCTCGGCCTCCCAAAGTGCTGGGATTACAGGTGTGAGCCACTGCACCTGGCCAGTTTTTGTATTTTTAATAGAGATGGGATTTCACCATGTTATCCAGGCTGGTCTCAAACTCCTGGCCTCAAGTGATCTGCCCACATCAACTTCCCAAAGTGCTGGGATTATGGGCGTGAGCCACTGTGCCTGGCCCTGTTTTCCAGGTTTTTTTTGAGACAGAGTCTTGCTCTGTTGCCCAGGCTGGAGTGTAGTGGTGCAATCTCGGCTCATTGCAACTTCCACCTCCCAGGTTCAAGAGGTTCTCCTGCCTCAGCCTCCTAAGCAGCTGGGATTACAGGTATGTGCCACTATGCCGGGCTAATTTTTGTATTTTATTAGAGACAGAGTTTCACTGTGTTGGCCTGGCTGCTCTTGAACTCCTGACCTCGGGTAATCTGCCCGCCTCAGTCTCCTGAAGTGTTGGGATTACAGGCGTGAGCCACTGTGCCGGGCCAGAAAGCCTGTTTGGTAACCCACTTTTGTAGCCATGTACGTGGGCGGCTAGGACAATATCTGTGGGTCCACTTGGAGGGAAGGAGCCCAAAAGGCTTGAGGGACATCTGAGTGGCATCCAGGTGACAAGGTGCTGGGAGGGCAGTAGTTGTCCTTGAGGAGGGTGGAAGGTCTGCTGGGCCCAGTCCTGGTACGGTTCTGGTGTCTCTGAACTGTTTCTCCCATTTCCTCCAATGGCTCCAGAGTCCTTTGTGGGAAATTCTGCTCCACCCAGACCCTGAGTGGCGTGGGCTAGGGCAGGGCCTCACGGTCACAGGTAGCTGCGGCTCCCAGCATAGGACAGATGCAGAGCCATCCCTCTGGGGTCAGCCTCCCTGGGCAAGCAGGCTGAGTGCCTTGTCAGGGAGGGAGGAGGCGTGTCCTGAGGGCTTGGGGGGTGATCGAAGCAGGGCTCAGGGTCCTGTGGTGGATGATGGAGGAGCCACAGGTGGGTTACAGGGACAGAGAGAAAGACGGAGAGACAGGGAGGCCGACACAAGACACACTGACAGGGTCTGATGGGGGAGGGGCTGGGGGCCTGACTCCTGGGTCTGACAGGTACAGAGAGAAAGGCACACGCTGAAAGAGACAGAGACTGAGGGGGCGGGGCATGGTGGCTCACACCTGTAATCCCAGAACTTTGGGAGGCCAAGCGGGAAAGATCACTTGAGCCCAGGAGCTCGAGACCAGCCTAGGCAACAAAGGGAGACACCCTCCCCCCACACCCATCACCTGTCTCTACATTAAAAAACAAAACAAAACAAAACGGTGGTTCACGCCTGTAATCCCAGCACTTTGGGAGGCCGAGGCAGGTGGATCACGAGGTCGAGAGATCGAGACCATCCTGGTCAACATGGTGAAACCCCATCTCTACTAAAAATACAAAAAATTAGCTGGGCATGGTGGCGCGTGCCTGTAATCCCAGCTACTCGGGAGGCTGAGGCAGGAGAATTGCCTGAACCCAGGAGGTGGAGGTTGCAGTGAGCCGAGATCGTGCCATTGCACTCCAGCCTGGGTAACAAGAGCCGAAACTCTGTCTCCAAAAAAAAAAAAAAAAAAAAAAGAAAGAAAAGCCAGAGAGGGATGGAGACAGGGAAATACAGAGACACAGAAACTGCCCAAAACAAAAAACAAGAGAGGGCCGGGAGCCATAGCTCACACCTGTAATCCCAGTTTACTGGGGGGCTGGAGAATCACTTGAGGCCAGGAGTTCAAGACTAGCCTGGGGAGCATAGTGGGACACCCCCACCCCCTTCATCTTTATTTTTTTTTTTTTTAATTAACAAAACCTGACCTGGCATGGTGGCTCACACCTGTAATCCCAGCACTTTGGGAGGCCAAGGTGGGTGGGCAGACTGCTTGAGGCCAGGAGTTCAAGACCAGCCTGACCAACATGGAGAAACCCTGTCTCTACTAAAAAAACAAAATTAGCCAGGCGTGGTGGCGCACATCTATAATCCCAGCTACTCAAGAGGCTGAGGCAGGAGAATCACCTGAACCTGGAAGGCAGAGGTTGCAGTGAACCGAGATAGCAGCATTGCACTCCAGCCTGGTGACAGAGACTCCGTCTCAGAACACATATACACACATACACACACCCCACCCCAAGAGAGATGGAGAGAGAGTGACGGAGAAGAGAGATGAAGGTGGGAGAGAGAACCTGTCAGAGGGAGGCGGGGAGAGGCGATCTGAGAGATGGAGACAGAGGTAAACTGGCCTCCCTCCCCAGCCCCACAGGCGTCAGTAGCAGAGGCGCCCCCACACTGACCTCCTTCTCGGCACTCCCACAGCACAGACAGTCCTCCTTCAGGTCTGCCTGCCTGCCTTCCTGCTGTTGGCCAAGCCCATTAAGCTGCTACCTTGGCCACAACTGAAGGCCCCACGCCCCAGGGAGGAAACCACTGAGGCGGCGTCCCTGCTACCCAGCACCCCAAACCATCAATTAATATTAATGAGGAAAGGCTCCTCACTGCCTGAGGACCCCCACTGAGTCTCCAGTGGAGGGGAGGCCCCACCCCCATGACTCAGGAGGTTAAAGGGCCTGGTGCTGGCCTATGAGGCCAGTGTCCAGATGGCGAGCGGCAGCGGGAGGGTCACCATCCAGCTCGTGGACGAGGAGGCTGGGGTCGGAGCCGGGGGCCCGCAGCTCTTTCGGGGCCAGAGCTATGAGGCAATCCGGGCAGCCTGCCTGGAGTCAGGGATCCTGTTCCAAGACCCTTACTTCCCTGCTGGACCTGATGCCCTTGGCCATGACCAGCTGGGACCAGACTCGGAGAAGGCCAAAGGCGTGAAATGGATGAGGCCCCATGTAAAGTGTGGCTGGGGCCTGGGCTCCAGGGTCTGAGGGAGGAGGGGCTGGGGTCTGGGCTCCAGGGTCTGAGGGAGGAGGGGCTGGGGCCTGGACTCCTGGGTCTGAGGGAGGAGGGGGATGGGGATCTGAACTCCTGGGTCTGAGGGAGGAGGGGCTGGGGCCTGGACTCCTGGGTCTGAGGGAGGAGGGGCTGGGGCCTGGACTCCTGGGTCTGAGGGAGGAGGGGGATGGGGATCTGAACTCCCGGGTCTGAGGGAGGAGGGGGATGGGGCCTGGACTCCCGGGTCTGAGGGAGGAGGGGGATGGGGCCTGGACTCCCGGGTCTGAGGGAGGAGGGGCTACCATGGGACTGGCTTAGCACACTCCTGCCTACAGGCTTCCAGGCCTTTCGTGGGCTGGGGGCCCTCACTCTGGAGCAGCAGAGGCAGGAGGGGCTGTAGCATGCAACCTTCCCTTGCTTTCCCGGCCTGAGGCTGGAATCCCCCACCACCCACAGGAGTTCTGTGCAGAGCCGAAGTTCATCTGTGAAGACATGAACCGCACAGACGTGTGTCAGGGGAGCCTGGGTGAGCGCCCCAAACCCACCTTGAGCCCTCACGTATAACCAGTCTCTTCTGGGGTCCTGACGGCTCCAGCTCTTGGTCCCCCAGTTCCCGGCCCAGGGGTCCCTCCGCAGTCTCTCCTCTCCCTAGGCCTGCGTCTCCCTCCCCTCTTCCTTCGTTTTTTTTTTGAGATGGGGCCTTGCTCTGTCACCCATTCTGGAATACAGTGGCACCGTTGTAGCTCACTGCACCCTTGACCTCCGGGACTTAAGCAGTCTTCCTGCCTCAGCCTCCCAGGTAGCTGTGATTACAGGTGTACGCCACCACACCTGGCTAATTTTTAAGTTTTCTTATAGAGATGGAGTCTTGCCATGTGGGCCAGGCTGGTCTTGTACTCCTAGGCTCAGGTGATTCTACTGCCTCAGTCTCCCAAAGTGCTGGGATTATAGGCGTGAGCCACTAGGTCCGGCCTCCCTCCTTCCATCCTCACCTAACCCCGGCTTCTCCTTCCAGGTAACTGCTGGTTCCTTGCGGCCGCCGCCTCCCTTACTCTGTACCCCCGGCTCCTGCACCGAGTGGTCCCTCCCAGACAGGATTTCCAGCATGGCTATGCAGGCGTCTTCCACTTCCAGGTACAGCTCAGTGCCTCTGCCCATGCCTCAGTTTCCCCCGGGGTGACACGGTGATACAGATTTCATAGTTAACACGGATTTGGGGCTGTAATTCCTGACTCTGGGACTGGCACAGCCGTCAGGGCTCAGAGGTAGGGCCCAGGCAGGGCTGGTGGTTGGAAGCCGCTCCCGGCCCTGTGTCTTTTCCCGCCAGCTCTGGCAGTTTGGCTGCTGGGTGGACGTCGTGGTGGATGACAGGCTGCCCGTGCGTGAAGGGAAGCTGATGTTTGTGCACTCGGAACAGCGGAATGAGTTCTGGGCCCCACTCCTGGAGAAGGCCTACGCCAAGTGAGGATTCCAGTTCCACCCAGCTGCAGCCCAAGTCCCCAGAGCAGGCACCAAGTCCCCAGAGCAGGCACCAAGTCCCCAGAGCAGGCACCAAGTCCCCACAGCAGGCACCAAGTCCCCACAGCAGGCACCAAGTCCCCACAGCAGGCACCAAGTCCCCACAGCAGGCACCAAGTCCCCAGAGCAGGCACCAAGCCACCGGGGGGGCCCAGAGTCCCCCAAGCTATGCAGTCCTCCAGACACCTTCCAAGAATCCCAAGCCAAGTGACAACCCTGCAACCCTAATATCCCAGCAGCCCCGGGCACCGTCACATCATTTTTGTTTTGTTTTTGTTTGTTTTGAGATGGAGTCTCGCTCTGTCACCAGGCTGGAGTGCAGTGGTGCGATCTCAGCTCAACACAACCTCTGCCTCTCTGGTTCCTGCGATTCTCCTGCCTCAGCCTCCTGAGTAGCTGGGATTACAGGCACACACCACCACACCCGGCTAATTTTTGTATTTTTAGTAGAGACAGGATTTCACCATGTGGGCCATGCTGGTCTCCAACTCCTGATCTCAGGTGATCCACCTGCCTCGGCCTTCCAAAGTGCTGGGATTACAGGTGTGAGCCACCGTGTCCGCTGTACCTTCAAATCTTAAACCCCTCTCTCCATCTATCAATATTTCACACAAAACATTCCTGGAGACCCCCAATCACCCATAATTCTTAACGATCCTGAAATCTCATATATCAGGCCCTGGATTCACCGAATCTGAGATTTATCCCCTCGGGTGACCTGTATTCTTAGATTGTCTCTCCTGGTCCGTTGAGAAATCCAAAGCACCCCCAAAATATTGGGTGTCATTTTGGGACCCTCAAATCTTTGCCTTTTCCCCATTTTTAGGCTCTGAAATTCCTGACAAGCCCCTATAGGGATGACCCCAAAGTGGACATCTCCCAGCAGCTCAAGGTTTCAGATATAGCACCAGTACTGTCAGAATTCTTTTTTTTTTTTTTTTTTTTTGAGACTGAATCTTGCTCTGTCACCCAGGCTGGGGTGCAACGGCATGGTCTCAGCTCACCACAACCTCCACTTCCCAGGTTCAAGCAATTCTCCTGCCTCAGCCCGGATTAGAGGCACCTGTCACCACACCCAGCTAATTTTTGTATTTTTAGTAGAGATGGGGTTTCACCATGTTGGCCAGGCTGGTCTCCAACTCCTGACCTTGTGATCCACCCACCTCAGCCTTCCAAAGTGTTGGGATTATAGGCGTGAGCCACCGTGCCTGGTGGACTCTCAGAATTTTAACACAGCTCTCCCCTGCCCCCGGCCAAACCGAAGTCCTGGGGGCCCACAGGACCACAGGCCGAATCTCCAAGGGCTTCTGTGTGTGTCACAGTTCCCCATCTCAAGAGTCTGAAAATTTTTGAGCTGGGTGTGGCAGTGTGCACCTGTGGTCCCAGCTCCTCGGGAGGCCAAGGTGGGAGGAGGATCGCTTGAACCCAGGAGGTTGAGGCTACGGTGAGCCAAGATCATGCCACTGCACTCCGGCCTGGGCCACAGAGTGAGACCCTGAAAAAAGTCTCAAAACTTCACGAATTGTCCCCAGGGATTCCACACCCTGAGATAGAGGCCCCTGCCAATCCCAGGACAGGGGTACCATCAACCCTCACCCCAGATCTGTCCCCACAGGCTCCACGGCTCCTACGAGGTGATGCGGGGCGGCCACATGAATGAGGCTTTTGTGGACTTCACAGGTGGTGTGGGTGAGGTGCTCTATCTGAGACAAAACAGCATGGGTCTCTTCTCTGCCCTGCGCCACGCCCTGGCCAAGGAATCCCTCGTGGGCGCCACTGCCCTGGTAAGAGACTTGGACTGCCATGGGGACCCCCTTCCAGGACCAGAGCACAGTTGGGGGTGTGGTGGGGTGGCGGGGTGGTGCTTCCTGCTCTTCTCTGCTTCTGTTACTGGCTTAAGCTCACTCCTAAAACTAGTCAAAAATAAACTTATTTGCTCCCATAATGAATCAGGTCAGGCACAGCTGGATCCAGGTGCTCAGGGTGTTGTAACTATGTTTATTTCTCCTGCGTTAGTGTCACTCTGGGCCAGCTTCTCCTCTCATGGGCATAGAAGGGTCCTCCAAAGCTGCACATATCACCTACCCCCCAGGGTTTATTTAAAAAAAAAAAAAAGGTGCTACTTTCTGAGAATTTCAGCAAAAGTCCCAGGATTGATTCTCATGGGCTTATCTGGGTCATGTGTTCATCTGTGACCCCATGACACACTCACTCACTGAGTTGTTCTGACTTCTTCAGTCATTTTATTTAAATCCTCTACTGAGTTCCTACTTCTTTGTCTTTTGTGTCACTGTGTCTTTGTCTCTATGTCTCTGTCTCTCTCCTCTTTCCATCTTTTTTTTTTTTTAAATAGGGACATGGTTTCACCATGTTGGTCAGGCTGGTCTTGAACTCCTGACCTCAGGTGATCCACCCACCTTGGCCTTCCAAAGTGCTGGGATTACAGGCATGAGCCACCACGCCAGGCCTTTTTTTTTTTTTTTTGAGATGGAATCTTGCTCTCTCAGGCGGGAGTGCAGTGACATGATCTTGGCTCATTGCAACCTCTGCCTCTTGGTTCAAGCAACTCTCCTGCCTCAGCCTCCCAGTAGCTGAGCTTGCAGGTGTGCACCACCACACCTGGTGAATTTTTGTAGTTTTTGTGGAGATAGTGTTTCACCATGTTGGCCAGGCTGGTCTCGAACTCCTGATCTCGTGATCCACCTGCCTCAGCCTCCCACAGTGCTGGGATTACAGGCGTGAGCCGCCGTGCCTGGCCTTTCCATCTGTTTTGTTTTTGTTTTTGGAGACACGGTCTCACCTCACTCTGTCACCCAGGCTGGAGTGCACTGGTGTCGTCATAGCTCACTATAGCCCTGACCTCCTGGACTCAAGGGCTCCTCATGCCTCAGCCTCCCGAGTAGCTGGGATCACTGGTGTGCACCACCATGCCCGTCAAATTTTTAAATTTTTTTGTAGAGTTGGGGTCTTGCTATGATGCCCAGGCTGATCTCTGACTCCTGGCCTCAAGCAATCCTTCCACCTTGACTTTCTGAAATGCTGGGGTGACGGCCGTGAGCCTGTGCTTCCATACCCTTTGTCTTCTTCCTATCTCCCTTCCTCTCCTTATTTCTCTCAACTTCAGTAACTAACCCGGACACGGTCTCCGAGCTGCGTGCGTTCAGCTCAGTGCTCTGGTTGGCTCCTGCCTTGGTGGCAGGAGGTTAGGGGCAGGGAGGAAAGGCTACTTTCCTGTCCCCGGCCTCGGCCTCACCATCCCTTCCCTTGCCCAGAGTGATCGGGGCGAGTACCGCACAGAGGAAGGCCTGGTGAAGGGACACGCGTATTCTGTCACGGGCACACACAAGGTGAGTGTACCCTGTGGGTGTGGTGACAGGCCATGTCCAGGTGTCACCCCCACTGACGATGCTGCCCCCAGGTGTTCCTGGGCTTCACCAAGGTGCGGCTGGTGCGGCTGCGGAACCCATGGGGTCGCGTGGAGTGGACTGGGGCATGGAGTGACAGGTGGGATGGGCATGGGGCGGGTGTGGGGCTGGATCCCACCTGCCCGCCCCTCACACCCCTCTCTCTCCAGCTGCCCACGCTGGGACACACTCCCCACTGAGTGGCGCGATGCCCTGCTGGTGAAAAAGGAGGATGGCGAGTTTTGGTCAGTTTGTCAGGGTCCCAGCTCTGCCTCTGGGGGGCGCATTGCGGTTGAAGGATGGGTCCTAATAGGGAGAAACTGTGGACATCGGTGGTAATTTTTGGGCCAGGTTCTATTTTGGGAAGTCAAGGGAGAATTGGTAGTAATATTAGAGTGCTTCTGATTGGAGTGGGTTTAAAAAAGTAGTAATATAGGTCAGGCACGGCGGCTCACGCCTGTAATCCCAACACGTTGGGAGGCTGAGGTGGGCAGGTCGTGAGGTCAAGAGACAGAAACCATCCTGACCAACATGGTGAAACCCCGTCTCTACTAAAAAATAAAAAATTAGCTGGGCGTGGTGGCACGTGCCTGTAATCCCAGCTACTCGGGAGGCTGAGGCAGGAGACTCACTTGAACCCGGGAGGTGGAGGTTGCAGGGAGTTGAGATTGTGCCATTGTACTCCATCCTCTCAAAAAAAAAAAGTAATATTAGGGGAATTTGGAGGCATAGTTATCTATGGAGGGTTGAAAGGGATGGGCAGCAGTATTTAGGGCAATGGAGGAAAGTTTGGTGACATTTGGGGCATTTCTTGAGACTTGGCAGTGTTGAGGGGCTGATGGATACCTGTTGGTAATTCAGAGTCTGAGGGACTTGCAATTTGGGGGTTGGTGGCAATTTAACGGTATTTGGGGGCAGTTAATCTTGGCGATTTGTGGGGCATGCCTGAGGACTTGGAGGAATTTGGGGGAGCTAAAGGCCCAGCCATCTGGGGGCCATTTCTGGAGCCTGAAGGGTACTTGGCAATATTTAAGAAATGTGGGGGGCTTTGGGATCTGGGGACGCCCTCGAGGTGGGGCCAGGCACTGTCTGACCGCGCCACTGTGCAGGATGGAGCTGCGGGACTTCCTCCTCCACTTCGATACCGTGCAGATCTGCTCGCTGAGCCCGGAGGTGCTGGGCCCTAGCCCGGCGGGGGGCGGCTGGCACGTCCACACCTTCCAAGGCCGCTGGGTGCGCGGCTTCAACTCCGGCGGGAGCCAGCCTAATGCTGGTGAGGCCTGAGGGAGGGGCCCTGGTGAGGCTCGCAGGGGTCGGGGATGGCTGTGGCCAGCTTGGAACCCCCCTTTCTTCCTCCTCCCTTAGAAACCTTCTGGACCAATCCTCAGTTTCGTTTAACGCTGCTGGAGCCCGACGAGGAGGAGGACGAGGATGAGGAAGGGCCCTGGGGAGGCTGGGGGGCTGCAGGGGCGCGGGGCCCAGCGCGGGGGTGCCGCACGCCCAAGTGCACGGTCCTTCTATCGCTCATCCAGCGCAACCGGCGGCGCCTGAGAGCCAAGGGCCTCACTTACCTCACCGTGGGCTTCCACGTGTTCCAGGTTAGAGCTAAGGCTGGAGGGAACCCGGAGGGTGAAGCGGGGAGGGGGGGGGGGCAAGGGGAGCAGGGGAGGAGTGAGGGGCGGGGCCCGCGGGAGGAGGAGAGTTGTGGAGGGGCGGAGCCGAGGGACGCAGAGGAGGTGTGGAGGGGCGGGGCCAATGGGGATGGGGGAAGCGTGGAGGGGCGGGGCCTGGGAGCTGGGGAGGAGTGGAGGGGCGGGGCCAAGTGGAAGAGGAGCTGTGGAGGGGCGGGGCCGAGAGGGGACAGCGCGGGAAGGGAGTGGGGGTCGAGTAGGGCTCAGACTGGAGAGGGAGCTAAGGGAATGAGGAAGGGGCTCGGGCTCGGGCTCGGGCTCAGGGGCTCAGGGGCTCAGGGGCATACTGAGGGACGAGATTAGGGACAGAGAGAGGCAGGGGGTCAGAAGGGCCAGAGGGGCCAGAGGGGCCAGAGGGGCCAGAGGGGCCAGAGGGGCCAGAGGGGCCAGAGGGATCTAAGGAGACAGAAGGCGCTCAGAGCGCCGAAGGGTTGGGGAAGGGTAGGCGAAGGCCTGGGTCGGGAACTGCCGGGCAGAGGTTCAATAAGGGTCTAAGAGGATGAAGGAGTGGGGACAGGGCAGAGGGGTAAGGAGGAGCAGGGAGGGGAGCCTGAGCGGCTGCCACCTCTTCCCTGCTCCGATTCCCCTTGCTTTTGCTTCTTTCAGATTACAGAGGAGGTAAGTCTGGGATGGGGTCAACCTGCACTGGGGGTGGTGGGTAGAGCCGGGGTCCAGAGGCGGGGGAGGCATGGACGGGGGGTTGGGCAGAGTGGACGGGGAGGGCTGGAGGGCTGGAGGACTGGGGGTGAGCCTGGTCCGTGGTCACGCCGTCCTGTCCCCAGCTGCTGGGCCTCTGGAACTCCCCGCGCAGTCGCGCGCTCCTGCCCCGGCTGTTGCGCGCCGACCGCTCGCCCCTGTGCGCCCGCCGCGACGTGAGCCGCCGCTGCCGCCTGCGCCCCGGACACTATCTGGTGGTGCCAAGCACCGCCCACGCCGGCGACGAGGCCGACTTCACTCTGCGTGTCTTCTCTGAGCGCCGCCATACGGCAGTGTGAGACCCACGGCACCCAGATCCGACCCCACGGCACCCAGATCCGACCCCACGGCACCCAGATCCGACCCCACGGCACCCAGATCCGACCCCACGGCACCCAGATCCGACCCCACGGCACCCAGATCCGACCCCCCCCCCCCCCCCCATCCCACCCCATCCCACCCCATCCCAGGCACCCAGATCCGACCCCAGGCACCCCGATCCGACCGCATCCCAGGCACCCCGATCCGACCCCACCCCAGGCACCCCGATCCGACCCCACCCCAGGCACCCCGATCCGACCCCACCCCACCCCACCCCAGGCACCCAGATCCGACCCCACCCCACCCCACCCCAGGCACCCAGATCCGAACCCACCCGTGCCTAGACAGGCCCTGAGACCCCTGAGACCTCACCTGCGAGGAGTCCAGAGCCCCACGATCCCCACGATCCCCGACCCTACGCGAGTCCTCAGCTGGGATCCAGCCCCCAGCCCCCAGCCCCCACCCCCCAGCCCCAGCCCACAGCCCCCTCCCCACCTCCTGTTTGTAATTTGCAGGGAGATTGACGACGTGATCAGCGCAGACCTGCAGGCTCTCCAGGTGTGGGCTGTTCCGGGAGGGGCACGTTGGGGCTGCGGTTTTGGCCAGAACTAAACTTCCCCCATCCCACAGGGCCCCTTCTTGCCCCTGGAGCTGGGGTTGGAGCAGCTGTTTCAGGAGCTGGCTGGAGAGGTGAGGAGGGGGAGTTGGTGAGGGCCTCCCCCTGCAGCCTCCCCTTAGAAAACCCCACCCCTGCATCGCAGGTGTCTCATTTTACTTTTTCTTCGGGCTTAAATCTCCTAGCCTCCTTTTCTTGAAATGCTAACAGCTCCTCCCTGCCTCAGGGCCTTGGGCTCAGTCATACCCTCTCCCAGGACCACCCTCTATCTCCAGACACCTCAGCCTGGCTCAGGCCTCATGTAAGCCCTGAAAGCTCTCCCTGACCCTCCCCCAGGCGGGTGTGCTGCCCGCCACCCGCTCCCACAGCCCCGAGCTTCCCCCATCCCAGCCCTGGCCCTGTGGGAACAGGCCTACCTGACTCCTGGAGCTACAGCTCTGAGGCTGTCAGCCCCTGCCATGTCTCTAGCTAGGCCCAGGACCACTGTGAGGCCATGAGTAAATGGCCTCACAAGCTCTTTCCTGGACTAGAAAGAAGAACTCGGTGCCCCTCAGCTCCAGGCCTTATTAAGCATTGCCCTGGAGCCTGGTGAGTTGGCTGGGATGGGGCGGGAGGAGGAATCTTAGCCAGGGGTCCTGTAACCAGAGCCCGAACCACCCCATGTCTCTTAACCCACCATGCTGCTGGGAGTTGGTCCCAGGAAGCCAGGGCTCAGCCTGGTAGCATCTCCCTGCACTGGACCTTGTGTGGGCCCCTGGATGTGGGCCACACCTACTCACAAGCTCCCCTTCTGCTGAGAGGCAAGGCTGCCTTGAGCACAGCCTGGGAAATCCCTGCTTGGATCTGAACCCTAGTTCTGCTCGTCACAGCAGTCACTGGCTCCCTGTGCCTTGGCATCTATAACCCGGGGCTGACGACAGTGCCTGCTTGAGGGAGTCGTGTTAGAGTGGTGGGCGGCATGCAGGAAGTGCTGTGGTTTTTGTTGTTCCTGTAGCCAGGTCTCACAGCCGAACCCCTGGAGAGATCGGGCTCAGGACCTGTGAGCAGCTGCTGCAGTGTTTTGGGGTACATGGTGGGCAGTGCCTAGATGTGGGAGTGGGGAAGGGGACGTTGGGGTCTCTTCCTCTTCTGGAGACATTGACCTTAACCAGATGCCGCCCCCCCCAACACAGCATGGGCGAAGCCTGGCCTTGCACCACTTCCATCGGCTCTGGGGCCACCTCCTGGAGTGGCAGGTGAGCGGGGAGACTGGGCCTTCAGAAAGAAACCTTTACTAAGAGACATAGGCACCCTGCAGGCTATCACGGCCCCAGGGAACACAGGGCGGGGAAGGGACTGGACTATGCTGACTTGGAGCGATCTGGCTGGGATATCCCTGCCCCTGCTTGGCCTCGGCTTGTCCTCTGGGGACATTGCTTTTTTTTTTTTTTTTTTTGAGATGGAGTCTGTCGCTCAGGCTGGAGTGCAGTGGCATGATCTCGGCTTACCATAACCTCTGCCTCCCTGGTTCAAGCGATTCTTCTGCCTCAGCCTCCTGAGTAGCTGAGATTACAGGCATTTGACACCATACCTGGCTAATTTTTGTATTTTTAGTAGAGATGGGGTTTCCCCACTTTGGCCAGGCTGGTCTCGACCTCCTGACCTCAAGTGATCCACCCACCCTGGCTTCCCAAAGTGCTGGGATTACAGGTGTGAGTCACCACCGCTGGCCATCAGGACATTGCTCTACAGACTGAGAAACAGAAGTCCAAAGCAATTAGGCTGCTTGGGGGGGTGGTCCACACCAGAAGAAAGGGAGTTGGGATGGGCACCAGGCTGTCTGGACTGGGAGGCCCCATTTGCAGCCCTCTTCGGGGCCTTGGGGGCTGACCCTGACTCATCCCTCCTGCTCAGGCCATATTTGACAAGTTCGATGAGGATGCTTCTGGAACCATGAACTCCTATGAGCTGAGGCTGGCGCTGAATGCAGCAGGTACGGACTGGGTCCTGGGGTGGTCTTGGGAGGACCTATTCTTTCTCGTCCCATTGTCTCCAAGTCCACCCACTCAGGGCCATCTGCACCACAGCCATCCAGAAGTCCACATCCTTAGTTTGTTGTGGGCCTGTGTGCCAACACACAGCAGAGGGAGCCACAGGGAGATGGAGGCTGGGGTGACTGATCGAGTCAGAGAGCCCAAGGCTGAGAGTTTGGGTGTGGCTGTGAATTTAAGACCCAGGGAGGGTGTTCCAGTGTCCAGGCACGTGTAAGAAAAGAGCCAGCCAGTCATGGTGGTTCACACCTGTAATCCCAGCACTTTGCAAGGCTGAGGTGGGCAGGTTGCTTGAGCCCAGGAGTCCGAGACCAGCCTGAGCAACGTAGTGAGGCCTCATCTCTTTTTTTTTTTTTTCAAGAGGCTGGGTGTGGTGGCTCATGCTTGTAATCCCAGCACTTAAAAATACAATTAGCCAGGCGTGGTGGCATGCACCTGTAATCCCAGCTACTTGGAAGGCTGAGGCAGGAAAATCACTTGAATCCAGAAGGCAGAGGTTGTAGTGAACCAAGATTGTGCCATTGCACTCCAGTCTGGGCAACAAGAGGGAGACTCTCTCAAAAAAGTCGGGGAGCAGGTGGAAGACAGTTTAGGATTGGAAGATGTGGGGCAGAGAGGGAGAGGCTAGGCCAGAAATAGACAGGAGCATAGGTGAGGGAGCAAGGACTCAGAGGGCAGGTGGCAGGCTTGTGTTCATGCATCTGGCACTACTGAGCACTTGCTACATGCCAGGAGTTATTCCAGGAAGAAGGAAACTGATAAAGTGCCCTTGAGGACAATTTCTTGAATGGGAATTCCTGCAGGTGCAGCTGAGGGGCTCCAGCTCTTCTCTGGTCCTTCCACCCCATCTGGCTGGGTTTTCCCATAGCCCTGGGCATGGCAGCCTCCACCTCTATGCCTGAGGGAGAGTGACCTGGGGCAGGTCCCTCGGGGGCTGCAGGGCTCAGAAGCAACCTCCCCCAGGCTTCCACCTGAACAACCAGCTGACCCAGGCCCTCACCAGCCGCTACCGTGACAGCCGTCTGCGTGTGGACTTCGAACGCTTCGTGTCCTGTGTGGCCCAGCTTACCTACATCTTCTGTGAGTACCTGCCCTGGCACGGGAGGAGGGGTATGGGGACTGGTGGGCATTCACCCTGCTCCTGTCTGCACAGGCCACTGCAGCCAGCACCTCGATGGCGGTGAGGGGGTCATCTGCCTGACCCACAGACAGGTAAGCTGGTGGGTGGGACAAGGTGGCTCGGGCACTGTCCTGGGAGCTCCCTGCCTCAAGCCCACCGTCTTCCTTCTCTTGCTTAGTGGATGGAGGTGGCCACCTTCTTCTAGGATCTCAGGACAGGAAAACTGAGCAAGACCACTCCCCTGCCCTGCCTCGCACAGGTGTGCTGCTCTCTCTGGCATCTACCTGCCTGGCGCTGGTTTTGGGCCCAAGTCCTCCACTCAGAAAGGACAGCAGACAACAGAAGTTGGTCCATGTTAACGGCTTAGGACAGTGCTAATTCTGCCCTGACTCTCCTAGGAAGTAGAGAACAAACGCAGAAGAGGGGGGAAAAAAGGACACTGCAGGAATCCTTCTGAAAAATATTACATGTTTTATTATCCTGTCCCCAGAGGATGGTTTATCCAGAAACCGAGGAAAAAAAAATCAGAATAACCTCAAAAAAAAAAAAAAAAAAAAAGTAGGGGGAGCAAAACCATCAACCACCAGGCAGCCACGCCAGCAGCCCACCTCCACCTCTGGAGGGTCCCCAGAGCCGCGTCAGGTAGGGGATGGGCTATGTCTTCATTGCGAGAGCAGGAGAGACAGCAGAGATATGTTGCTAGGTGAATATATATTTATATAATAAATCCGTAAGTTAATAAAGTAAATAGTAATTCTCTGAAAGTTTTTTTTTTATAGTTTTTATGGTTTTTTTTTTTTTTTTTTTTTTTTTTTTTTTTTTGTCCTTAGAAAATCGGAGATGTGTGTGAGGCCAGACAAAGCAAGGCTGGGGCTGGTGGGATTCAGAGGGGCCCCGTCTGCTAACCCAGCTCCTCTGCTGTGAAAGCAGAGGAGCTGGGTGGGGCCCCCATCTCCTGGCAATGGCAGGTGAGTGTGGAGAGGGGCTGGGTGGGGCCCCAGCTGTTGGGTGGCGGTGACGCCCCTTGCAGGGCCCAGGCAGTTCCTGGACAAGGCACATGGGGCTTTGGCCTGGATGGGGGAGGCCTTGAAGGGACCTCAGAGGCAAAGAAAGAGACCCGGGTATGGAGGGGACTGGTTTTGCTGGGGGAATCCAGTGCCCCCTCCACGACGGTTAAAAAAGCACAAGCCCCAAGTCTCCCCGGCCCCACCTGGTCTGGGGAACCTCCGGGCCAACCCACAAAGAGAGAGGAGAGAGCCTGCCCCAGCCCCTCCCTGGCCACCCACCCACACTGGAGGACTGCAGAGTGCTTTGCATAGATACAGAGTGGAGGAACAGGATTGTGGGGCTTCCCCGGCCCCTCCTGGAGGCCGTGGGGGGGTATTTGGTCTGGGTCTCAGGGGCCTCACAGGTCGCTCTCGCCATACAGGGCAGTGGAGAAGGACTTGTAGTCGAGGGCACCGGGTACGGCATCAGGGCCCTGGTAGGGCGCCATGCGGGCAATGCAGTACTCCGCCTGGTCAGGGGGCAGCTCTCTCCGCAGCTCCTCGGCTGTGATGAAGTTCTGGGATTGGCAGGATGGGACTCTGAGCCATCCCCACCCACACACTGGCTCCCTCAGCCCCTCCCGATGCAGGGACCCCTCTTGCCAGCCCCCGTGCGCCTCATGGGGTCTCACCTTGTCCCCTGCCAGGACCTTGAAGGAGGCGATGACCTGGTCGGCCGTGTCCGTGTCGGTGGTCTCCCGAGACATGAAGTCAATGAAGGCTTGGAAGGTCACAAGGCCGCTGTGGTTGGGGTCGACCAGGCTCATGATTCGGTTGAACTCTGCATCACCCTGCAAAGAGGGAGTTGGGGCGGGGGGACACACCCAACATTGAGTAGGGCAGGGGCAGCCAGGCCCACACCGGTGGGGTCTCCAGAGAAACAGCCAGGAGAGCAGGGCCCAACCCACGTTCAAATCCGCCCTGTTCCCTGCTTGCTCTGGCTGCCCCAGGCCCCCAGTGCCCCAGGCAGGGGAGCAGGGCCCCTTTGCATCCTCCCCTCCCGTGGTCTCCAACAGCAGAGAACTGGGGTCTGCTGCCCTCAACCCAGGCTCACGAGTTAACTCTGGAGGGTGGGGAAGAAAGAGAGAAAGAGAAAGAAAAGGGGGAGAGCATGGGAGAGCTGCCCCCTCTCTCTGGAGACTTCTAGGGAAGAAGGGGGGCTTAGGAAGTCATCGGAGGGACCCCACCCCGGCATGTGCAACAGAGGAGGCGGGCACAGCGGCACTGCTCGGGCAGAGGAGTGTCCCCGAGGACGAGGAAGCTCTGGAGGTGGTAAGGGGGAGAGGCAGGACAGGAGGAGGAGCGGGTGGCTGGGGAGACAGAACTGCATACCAGGCTGTATCCTGTGGAGATAAGCAGAGCCCTGAAGTCATCGGAGTCCATGCTGCCTGTCTGCTTCTGCTCCGAGGACGCAGGCATAGCAGAGGACGCGGGCCCAGAGTAGGCAAGAGGGGCCGCCCCATGTGCACAGCGGGCAGACAGGACAGTGGCGGGGAGCAGGGAGACAGCGGCCCCGAGAGACCAGGTAAGGGGGAAGGTGTGCAGGGAGGCAAGAGAGCCGTGAGATGGCACACAGGTTGCAGGGGTGGGATGGCGAGGGGAGAAAGAGAGAAGGAGAGAGAGAGAGCAGTTAATGCCAAGGTCCGCTGGGGCCCAGGGTGCAGTACCTGCCGGTCGTTCTCCACGTCGTAGCCCAGGCTGATGAGGCAGGCCTTGAACTCCTCGGGCCCCAGCGCCCCGCCATGGTCCTGCCGGGGCCATCCGAAGGCAGGTGTGTGGGAGGGGCGGCATGGATGAGGGATCGGGGTCACATGCAGAGGGGAGGAGGAGGGGACACGTAGGGGAGGGAAACACAGAGTTAGAGGCGATGTGGACAAAGAGATGGCCAGGGCCACAGGGGGCAGCTCGGGCCCCTTTCGTCCTGCTCCCCACCTCGGAGGCTCAGAAGCAGGCAGAGGCCTCCCCCACCCCTCTGCCCATAGCAGGGGTGGCAGCTGGGTGCTACAGAATTGAGGGTGAGTCCCAGGACTGGTGGGGGGTAGAGGGGCTCTCCTTGCCTTTGGAATTTGGAGTGGGACAGAGGAAATTGCACCCCGTCCTGGGGGCACCAGGTGCAGAGCTAAGGCTGCACTCGCCTAGCTAGCTGGGGGGGGTGTCAGCCAAGCAGAGTAGGCTGGGGACAGCAGCAAAGTATGGTGCTCAGGGGCCTTCTGATGGGGCTGCCGGTCGAAACCTAAATTCTAAAAGCACCGTGTGGGGTGTCTGTGTCCAGATTCACAGACAGGGTTGCAAAGCCTGGGTGTGCTGAGACTTCATCTGCCCCGGGGGTGGTGAGGGTAACACCCCAGAGGGCATGACTTGGGGGCCCCCTGCCTATGTGAAGTGGCCTAGGTTAGGGTCTCGGTACCCCATGGCTGCACCCCGACAGTGGCAGGGCCCTGGGAGTGTTGGCCGACAACTCAGCAACTTTGACGGGAACGGACAAACAGATGCAGAAACGAGGGGGCAGGATGGGACAGCAACGGTGAGGTGGGGAAGGGAGAGGCCAAGGAGGTGGCAGACCACTCACCTTGTCAAAGTGGTTGAAGGATGCCCGGAACTCCTGCATCTGCTCCTGGCTGATGCCCTTGGCGTCACGGGTGAGGATCTGGTTCTCCACCTCGTTAATGGTGCGGGCGATGGTGGTGAGCAGCTGCTCCCAGCCCACGCGGATGTGCTGGGGGAGGACAGGAGTGTGACCGTGGGCTGGGCACTGTGGACTGTCCTCACCTTCAGGGGGTAGCTTCAGGAGCCTGCCCAGCCCTGGGGAAAGTCCCTGTTCTCCTGTATGCCTCACTAGGGACACAGGCCAGGGTGCCTCTCTGCTGCCTTTGCCAACCGTGGGGTTCGTCTCCACAGTAAGTTTCCTGGCTACGGGGGCAGCAGAGAGGCAAGGACCCATGACTCTTGTGCCGGGATCTCTGGAGATGGGACATACGCTGGTCAGTCTCACCACTGGCTCTCGGGAAAAAAACAATAAAGCCAACTCTGGTGTGAGGCACCTGTGGACCTGTACCGGGTGAATCAACAGTAGTCAATCTTTTGGCTTCTCAAGCTACCCTTATGACAGTGACCAGCCTGTAACGTCCCTGGCATGTTAGCCAGTGGGAGCTGCTGCGCTGACTGGGCACCTGCTGCACAGGCTCTGGCCCCAAGGCTGATACTGTGGAGGCCACAGGGCAAATGGTGCCCTCAGCGAGCCCCTGGACCAGCTTGTCCTGGGAGGGGCATTGTCTTGGTGATGAGAGCACTGCTCTCATTTTGATCTAGTCATTTCAATCCTTTTTTTTTTTTTTGAGACAGGGTCTGGCTCTGGAGTGTGGTACATAACCTTGGCTCACCTCAACCTCCACCTCCCTGGCTCAAGCAATCCTCCCACCTCAGCCTCCTGGGGAGCTGGGACTATAGGCATGCACCACCATGCCTGGTTAGCATTTCCTTTTTTTTTGAGACAGGGCCTTGCTATGTTTCCCAGGCTGGTCTTGAACTCCTTGGATTAAGCCATCTTCCCACCTCGGCCTCCTAAAGTGCTGGTCTTCCCAATCATTGTTAAACAGAGTGAAGAAATGCCAGCAGACAGCTATCTTCTCACTGGCCCAAGCCACCTTGAATGAGGAGGCCGGGCAGCCACGCACCTCCATGGTGTAGTTGGTGTGCTTGTTGTCAAAGATGAGGGCCTCCTGGATGAGCTGGTGCTGCTGCTCTAGCAGGTCCAGGTTGGGCTTGTAGTCCACGATGCTGCGCTCGTACTGCTTCAGGTGGCTCAGCTGGTCCTCCAGGGTCCCGTTCATTTCAATGGAGATGCGCCCAATCTCCTACCGGGTGGGTGCAGGTGGTGGGGTGAGGCTGGTGGGCCTGCCTCTAGGGGAGGCACCACTGACCATCTAGGGGAGCCCACTCCCACTATTGGCCTGCATCTCCTGGGGCCCCTCTAGCTAGGAGCCTTGGCCTGTGGGTCCCTGGAAGGGAAGGCCCACCGCTCATGACTGTCCCCTCTGGTCCTGCCCTCTCATGTTAAAGCAGCCACGACTGACAGGGAGGCTTTCTCTGCCAAGCACTCCCCATGCCCAACTTCATTTTAGCCTTGATCTCTCTGTGAGGCTGGGACTGTGGCAGGCCCTGACTGCAGAGGTAGAAACCAAGGCTCAAGGGGACAGGTGCAAGGGATTCCACACACAAGCTCTGTGGACTCTCCTAACCCTGCAGAGTGCTCAGGGCCCCCAGCTGGTGAGAGTGGGACCTGCTCTGCCAGGCAGCTGTCTGTAGGCCTTGGGCTGGCCAGGGACCCCTCACTAAGGGAGCTCCCTTGGTGCTTTCTCAGCACTGCCAGGCTGGACCAGTGCCTCACCTCCATCTTGGTCTGGATCCAGGGCCCCACGACGTTGGCCTGGCTGGCGAACTGGCGGCGCAGGTGCTCGTTGGACTGCTGCTTGCTCTGCTCCTCCAGGAGGGCATGGTCCCGCTTTGGCACCAGCTGCTGTACCTGGCGGAGGGGATGTGGAGCAGGAGCGGTCAGGGAAGTGGCCCCTAGCCCCACTCGCCTGCCCCAGCCCCTTCTGACAGCCCCAGCCCACCTTCTCCCACTTGGAGTTGATGATCTGTGGGGTGACAGTGGTATAGGGGTTGCTGCCTGACAGCTTGATGTGGTTGCTCTCAGCGATTCTCTGGGCCTCCTTGTGGATGGCCAGGATGGCCTCGCGCTCCCTGTCAGCGTCCGGCAGCGTGGACTTGAACTGGTCGTGGGCTGAGATCAGGCCCTGGGGAAGGAGCTGGAATGAGGGGGTGGCCCAGTCCCACAGAGGCCCTTGGGAAGGTGAGGTGCCAGGGGGCGCGGACCTCAATCTCCTCGATGGTGTGGACGATGAACATGTCCTGGAGGTCCTCCATGGCACTCTCCATCCAGTTGTTGAAGGGGGCTGCGCGCTTGGCGTACTCCAGGTGCAGCTGGTCAATGGCCTCCAGCTGCTTCTCTGTTTTCTGGTGTGTGGGGAAGGGAGCAGGGACAGAAGAAAAGCAGGTGAATATGTGAGTAGGAATGGCGGGGAGGAGCCCAGAGGGCACTGAGAGGTCAGAGAATGTCCTCTCTGTGGGAGTTGGGGGAGCTCACAGGTTTGGGCACTGACCACACCACCAGCCCCAGGACATCGGGGGCACAGGGCTCCGTGGGTGACGTCACCCCCCTCCTTACCTCCAGGGCTTCCCTGCGACTGTGGGTCAGAGAGCCGAGGGCATCCCACTGGTCACAGATCTTCTGGCACCGTGTGTTGACATTGTGGGAGTCGTAGTAATCCAGCTCGCTGCGGGCCGGGCAGACAGCAATGAGACCTGGCAGGGGCAGATGGCGGGCAGCTGGGCCCCACCTACCACCAGAGCTCCCAGGATGAGGTGTTGGGACAGTCAACATTCCAGGACATCCACAACAATCACTAATCAATCACTGCTCAGTTCTGGCCCCTGGGACCCCCAGGGGTGCTAACAGGGGCCTCCTCCAGCTCACCCACCCCTGACTCATTCTGCCACTAACAGCTAAGAGTATGGCCCTTCCAACCAGGCCTGGGGGCCTGAAGAGGAGTAGAGGGCAGGGAACGACCTTGGGAGGAACAGGACATGGGAACCAGGCGAGCCAGCCACAGAAGAGCAGGCAGGGGCTGAGGCCATGCTCCACAGTAGGGCTGGAGGACTGGGCTGCATTCCTGTCTCAACCACTCCCTTGCTGTGTGACCCTTGCAAACCCCTTGGCCTCTCTGCCTTGGTTCCCTGAGTAATACGCTGCTGGGGGGATTAAATGAGCTGATACACATAACAGTCTGGAGAGCGAGGTGAGTTTTTGCTGTCACCATTAATCAGCGCTCAGCGCGGCTGCCCATCGGCTCATCCTAGACGGTCCACAGGCCTCTAATTCCCCCTCAGTGGGACAGACAGCACCCAGACAGCCCTCCCTTCTGTTCCTCCAGGGCTTCCATCCAGAAAGCTGCTTCTGGACCCATGTCCCCAAGCAGGGTAATGGGTTTCACCTGGCATTGCCCAGGGCCTAGAAGGGTTTATTCCAAGTCTGTTTCCTACCAGTTTCCGGGGACCCCCTGTCACTGGAAGCTTCCTGTGTCCCACCCCCACACTGCCAAGGGGGTTGCATCTGTGGCCTTGCTCTCCTTGGCCTAGACGTGGTGGTGGCAGGACCCCTGGGGTGTCCCAACTATGCCAAATAAGAAGCTGTGTTTCCCAGTGCTGTGGCAGCCCCAGCGCCTCTGGCTGAGGCAATGGGGAAGCCTCAAAGCACCTTGGCAGCTGGGCGCGGTGGCTCACGCCTGTAATCCTAGCACTTTGGGAGGCCGAGGTGGGTGGATCACCTGAGGTCAGGAGTACAAGATCAGCCTGGCCATCATGGTGAAACCCCATCTTTAAAAAAAATTAAAAAAAAAAAGCACCTTGGCAGTGGGGGGTAGTAATGAGTCGGGGAGGAATCCAGCTCTGCCCAGCATGGGGCTTCACTGGGTATCAGGCCTGGGCCTTGGACTCAGGAATAAGCAGACCTTTGGGGGTGACTGTGGTGGGGTGGGAGTGTTGGTGGAAAGAGCAATTACAGCCAAGGATCCTATTTTTGAGCAGACAGCTATTTTGGGAGCTCTGCCACCCCTCGAGGGCCTGTGAATTTTCCATGAAGTAACGGCTTGGGCCTCCTGCTGCCTGGGCCCGCCCTGCTGCTGGCCGCTTGGCTGGTGGAATAAGGCCCCATTCACCAGCTTGAGGCTCAGTGTACTAATTGTGTATACAAGTTTATCTGACTGGGGTGGGCAGGGGAAGGAATGAGGCTGCCTGGAAGCTCTTACAATAAGCGTATTCTGAGAAAGAAAGGGAAGGGCCCGAGCAGAACAATAGGCTCACTGTGCAGACTGGTTCCCTCAGGGAGCGGCGGCTGGGAAGCAACGGAGGCCGGAGGCTGGGGCCCATCCCATTGGGGGCCAGGGCCTACTTGGGGTGGCCAGCAGGGGAGGTGGTGCCCCCAGGGACTCCCAAAGCCTGAAGAATCAAAACAAGGGGCCAGACACCTCCCTCCTGCTAGAGAATCCAGATCCTTCAGGTGTTCCACGTGGGGCTGCGACAGGATGGGGCAAAGGCCTCATCCCATAAAGCCTTTCCCTGGCGGATGGAAGGAGGTGAAGGTGGGGCACTAGGGACACTATTCCAGGCCTTGAGGTAGACTGGGCCTTGGAGTGCTGCCGCCACCACTCTGGTCAGGCTGTGGTGGGAGGCAGGTAATGGGAGTGCCCTGGGCCCGCACGTACTTGAGCTCCTGAGCGATGGCCGCTATCTGCTCCACGCGGTCCTGGTGTGCGGCCAGGTCGCTCTCGAAGGCCTCGTGCTTGCGGATGAGGGCTTTGATGTCCGACAGTGTGGCCGTCTCATAGTCCCGGTGTTTCAGCATGGCTTCCTTCCCTGGGGTGGGGGCAGAGAGGTGCTTAGACAACAGCACAGCTGTGAGGCAGGAGTCTGGAGGGGCTGTCCGAGCAGAGGGAGGGAAAGAGACTCTGGGTTCTACATCCTTCCACGCCAAGGACAGTAGCATGGAAACTTCTAGAACCTTCTTCCATACCCACCAGGGATCTCTAAGCCTAACTACAACCCGGATGGACACTTCAGGGTTGGTGAGCCTGAACGAAATATTCCTTCTCAACCCACGTGTCCTAAACTTAACATCTTTTGTTGGTAGAAAACCATACAAATAGGGCCTTGGTAGCACGGCTTGAAAAGCTAGCACCTGTTTCTGGAGGGCTTTGATCTGGAGAAGTGTCCGGGGTCAAAGCCCATGTCCCAGCAGGCTTAGGGAAGGGGAAGCATTGGCCAGGTTCTTCTAGGAGCTGGACCCTGCACCTGCACAGGTGGTTGTCCTCTCCCACGTCTAAGTGCCCCACTGTTCTAAAGTGTCCTGTGTGCAGTGGGGTGGGCCCACCGTCAGGCCCTTTGAGGGAAAGGAGGCACACTGTTATTAGTCCTAGAGCCTGGCTAATCACACACACCAGAACCAAAGCTCAAGGAAGCCCTGCAAGTAAGTGAAGGTCTTTAGAGAACTGCAGGGAAAATTCTGGCCTGGGAAGGTGGCTGGCACCCCAGCTCCTACATGGGCCCTGCCTCAGGTACACCCCCTTGGGCTTCCCCGGAGTGGTAGTGGAGATCCCCTCAGCTCTATCCCAGCGCACCTGACAGCTGCCCGCCTAGTGCAGCCACCAGGGGCTCTCTGGGTCTGTGCATTCACCTGTAAAATGGGGCCAGCCCCAGCACCTATGTCGCATGCGACTATTCTCAAGTTTCAGTGAGGTGGTGTTCAAGCACAGCAGGCATGGAGCCAGTACCAGCTCACCCCAGCCTCTACTGGTCTCACCTGGCAGACACCTACCAGCCTCCCCCAAGGATTGGGCCTGGCATTGATGGGCAAGGAGTGGGCAGCCTGGGAGACTCTAGCTCCACCGGCCCTGCTGCCCATCCCTGGGACCGGCTGAGCCACAAGGCAGCCTTGCAATTCCCTTCTCCAACTCTTCCTCCCAGGGGTGGGAACCAGAAACAGCAGGTGATGGCTCCCTCTGCCTCATCAGAGTCCCAGCAAGGGTGTGCTGAGAGGATGTGGGCAGTGGGCCATGGCCACGGCTGCTGGGATCCAGGCCAAGGGGCAGCCAGAGCAGGGACAAGGGGTCATTGGAGGCTGGTCATATTGTCAGGAAATCAAGTCCCTCAGAAGCATCCATGGTGACCCTCTCCCTGCAGGCTGTGGGGGATGGTAGGGGCATGGAGTGACAGTGGCCCACCCACCCCAGGGCGGAGAAGGCCACTGAGACCCGACCCCAGGTGTGGAGGGCCTGTCTGTCCTGTTTCGAATAACTGCTGCTTAAGAGGACAGAGGCTCCGGGTCTTGGGATTGAGTGGGCTGGCCTGCCTGGGGGCTCTGGCCGATGCCATGGGCAGAGCTGGGTTGATGCCCAGCCAGGCAGGGGTGTGGCAGAGATGTGTGGAGGCTGATGAACCAGTTGGGCCCTGGCCAGAGACTGAGCCAACTTCTAAATGCCTCAGGTGAAGGCTGCTGCCCCAGAGCCCTTCCCACCAGAGGAGTGCTGGGTGGAGCCACCACACCCAGCCCCCCGGCATCAGGAAACCATGTGCAGGGCCTGCAGAGTGCTGGGAGGGACTGAAGAGCTGACAGGTGGGCAGAAAGACCCTCAGAAGGGACAGCCACAGGGTGATGCCCAGGCCTCCATGGATAAGGATGGCAGGATCCACTTGAGCTGTCTGTTGAATGAACAAGTGAATCCGTGAATGGATAGAGGCCACCCTCCCACACAAGATGGCACCAGTGCCAACATGCTGTCCTCACACAGGTGCCTTTCTGCAAGGCAAGAGGGAAGCACAGCACCCGGCCTGGCCAGGCCCTTCCTCCTTCACCGTCCGTGCTCTCATCTGCCCTCTTTTCTGGCAGCAAAAGGTCTGGGCTACTCAGGCTGGCAGCTGCCACGGGCACAACAGGCTGAGCTCATGTAAGGAGGGCATGAGCTGGGCTGTGGGCAGGGCTACGGGCTATGCGAAGCTGTACTCTCATGCAGGCTGGGGTAGGGAGGGGTGAGAAACCACACTGAAGAACTCGAGGAAGGGCTCATCTGGACAGAGTGGTGGTTGGAGGGCCACAGAGAAAGCACTGGGAAGGAGGTGGCCAGAACGGGAGAGGAGTCCTATGGGTGGCCCCTGTGGCTCTCCCAGGCACTGGCAGCTTTCTGAATGCTTCCAGACCCCTGGGATCTGGAATCTCAACCTTGGCGTGACCCAAAGAAGGGCCAGGGACGTGATGGAATCCCACATCCGGATCCAAGGTCCAGGCAGCTGCAGCTGCAGGGCTGCCGAAAACAGAAAGCATTATGGAGGTGTAGGAGAAGCCTCCTGCAGGGGGAGCCAGGCCCCGGAAGGAGGCCCTGGGAAGGGATGGGAGGTGGCAGGAGCTCGCAGGTGGGCCATGGGGAAGGTGGGCTGAGGGCTGTGGCTGTCTGTGGTTCCAGGTGGGAGAGGGGAGCTGACTCTGAACATGGTGCCAGGGATGGCAGAGGTCTGCCCCACATGCTCGCCCTGGATGGGGAAGACAGGCAGAGGGGATGGGTATAAGGTCACTTCCCTGAAGGGCTGGAGGGGGCTTGGCTGTGTTCCTGGATGACTGACAGGGGCCCACCTGTAAGTAATCTCTGAGGTCAGGGCAGATTGGGTAACAAAGAAGACCTGGCCCCAGAATGATCCCTGGGGCTGGAGGAACACAGAGCAGCATTTCTTTCCCCTTTTTTTGAGACAGGGTCTTGTTGTGTCACCCAGGCTGGAGTGCAACAGCACACTGTAGCCTCGACCTCCCTGGCTCAATTGATCCTCCCACTTCAGCTTCCTGAATAGCTGGGACCACAGGTGTGTACCCCATGCCTAATTTTTAAAATTATTTTTAAATTTTTTGTATAGACAGGGTCTTGCTATGTTGCCCAAGCTGGTCTCAAACTCCTGGGCTCAAGTGATCCTCCGGCCTTGGCCTGCCGAAGTGCTGGGATTACAGGTGTGAGCCACTGCACCTAGCTCTAAAGCAGCAAGAAAGGGTGCCCAAGAAACAGACGCAACGTGGTAAAGGCTGTGTGTGCACACTCACACGTGCCTGAGACCGGAAGGGAGCAAGGGAGCGGGACTGGGCCGTACCATCAGTCCAGGCCTCATGGATGGAGGCCTTCTGCCGGAACTTCTCTGCCAGGTGGTCGAGCCGCTCCAGCCTGCGGATCTCATTCAGCAGCCACTCCTCGTAGCCCTTCTCAGCCTGCTCCAAGTGCTGCCAGCCATTGTTGATGTCCTGGGGTGGGGCAGGGGTAGGCAGGGTTATCATAGGGGAACAGGGGCACCCAGGGGGATGTCTCCAAGGGATGCTGATGGTAAGTTGGCAGAACTTGGCTGGGGTCATGGCTGTGCCATGCTTTGCTATTATATCTGGATGCCTACAGAAGGCCCAGCACTAGACAGGTACAATCAATTCTGGATTAACGAAATCTATGGGTAAACAGGTGAGTGCATGAATGAATGGATGAATGCCACAGATGGGGTGGCGGTAACCACCCAGAGCGCACTGCCCCTCTGCTGATGAAGGACCTCAAGCACACGGTAGTCCTATAGTCATGGCAGACCACGGCTCCAAATTCATACAACTCCACATTCACACAACCCATGGCATGGATTTGGGTATAAAACCCTGGGTGTAAAACACAGTGAGTGAGGGCCAAAGGGGAGCACAGTGCTGAGTGAGATGTGCCTCTTCCCACCACCTAAAGGCCGTGCGAAGTCCCACAGGACACCAACAACAGGAAAGACTGCGCTGGCCAAATGGCAAGCCCACAGGCAATTCAAGAGCTGCCTCTGACCCTCACAGTTGCTCCCAGGTTCAGCAGGGCACCCCACCCCCCTGTGAATCCTGGCACTTACTGAGACCATCTTGCCCTCGGAGGGCATGAAGGCCGGCCGGTTGCTGAGGCGCAGCTTGGTCTGCAGCGTGTTGAAGTTGATCTCCAGCTGGCACTTCTCCTGCACCTTGGGTGGCTTGTGCACGCGCCGGTAGTCTCGGAAGTCCTCCAGCTTCTGCTGCATCTCCTGGATGGTCTTTTGGGGCACGCGGTCCTCCAGCCAAGGGATGGTGCGCCGGATCCACTCCAGGAGCTGTGGGCCCACAGAAGCCAGGGTGACCTTTGTTGGGGGCCCTCAGAGTGCTGACAGGCTGCCCCCCAGCTTATGGGCACATGGGATCTGAATCTTTGAGGACCCCACCTTAGGGGCTGCCCCTGCTCCCCAGCCCAACTTCTCCATGATTCCTGCTGGAATGCCCCACCCAGAATTCTGGGAACGTGAGCCCCTCCCCGTCCCTACACCACTGAACTCTTCCCTTGCGTCTCCCTGTTCATGCCTCATGTTCTCGCTTTGTCATCCAGGCTACAATGCAGCGGCAGCTTCAACCTTCTGGGCTCAAGCCATCCTTCCACCTCAGTTTCCCAAGTATTTGGGATACAGGTGCCTGCCTCCAAGCCTGGCTGACTTTCACCTTAAGTTTTTATAGAGGCCGGGCACGGTGGCTCACGCCTATAATCCCAGCACTTTGGGAGGGCGAGGGGGGTGGATCACGAGGTCAAGAGATGGAGACCATCCTGGTCAACAAGGGGAAACCCCATCTCTACTAAAAATACAAAAATTAGCTGGGCATGGTGGTGCGCGCCTGTAGTCCCAGCTACTTGGGAGGCTGAGGCGGGAGAATTGCTTGAACCCAGAAGGCGGAGGTTGTGGTGAGCTGAGAACGTGCCATTGCACTCCAGTCTGGGTAACAGCAGCGAAACTCTGTCTCAAAAAAAAAAAAAGTTTTTATAGAGAAGGGGGGTCTCAGTATACTTCCCAGGCTGGTCTTGAACTCCTATCCTCAAGCAATCCCACTTTAGCCTCCCAAAGTGGTGGGATGACAGGGGTGAGCCACCATGCCTGGCGTACACCTTTGCTCTTTTAGTCTTTTTCCTCAGGTCTAGAGGGGAGACCTCCACTCCCATGCCCCCTCAAAAGAGGTCCCCTTCTGTGCTGTCCCATGCCCGGTTGCCGCTGTCTTCACTGAGCTCCAAGCTGTCTAAGTGCCTCGAGGGCAAGGCCAACAGGCGCTCCGGGCTCAGTCTGGCTAGACCAGTGTGTGCACTGGGGCTAGGACATAAATTAGAAAATAAAATTGAAAAAAGAAACGAACACGTACTTTTAGGAACTACTTAGATCTTTGATGGAGTAAGGAAGGGTAACAAACAATTGGACATTCTAAAACAATTCTAGGCTGGATGTGGTGGCTCACGCCTGTAATCCCAGCACTTCAGGAGGCTGAGGCGAGCAGATCACCTGAGGTCAGGAGTTCCAGATCAGCCTGACCAACATGGTGAAATCCCATCTCAAGTAAAAAGTTAAAAAATTAGCCAGGCCTGGTGGTATATGCTTATAATCCCTGCTTCTCAGGAGGCTAAGGCAGGAAAACTACTTGAACCCAGGAGGCAGAGGTTGCAGTGAGCAAAGATCACACTATTGCACTCCAGCCTGGGAGACAAGAGTGAAACTCCATCTCAAAAAAATAAAATAATAAAACAATTCTAGAATAATAAAATCAGTTATCTGCCAGCACAGAGAAACTCAGAGAAGTGGTTCCCAAATGCCAACTTCTGGCAAAGTGAGAAATCCAAGGACAGAAATACCCGTGTGCATACATCGTGAGGCGTGTTGCCAGCTGCCCTTTCTTGGCAACGGCTGGGGTTCCAAGAATAACCTTTTTACCTTATCTTGGTGATAGAAGTGCTGGTGGTAACAGATGGTGGTGTTTCTTTTTAAAACATCCATAACTTGGCAAAATAAAAACCTGGCCACCTTAGTTGGACATCAAAATAGTTTTTCAAATTTTCCTGGTCCATGAGATTACAAAATCTGGGAACCACTGGTACTAGAAGAGCAGGCAAACCACTGCTCTTTGAGAACTTATATTACTTTATTTTATTGAGACAGAGTCCTGCTCTGTTGTCCAGGCTGGAGTGCAGTGGCACAGTCTCAGCTCACTGAAACCTCTGCCTCCCAGGTTCAAGTGATTCTCCTGCCTCAGCCTCTCGAGTAGCTGGGACTACAGGCGTATGTCACCACGCCCGGCTAAGTTTTGTATTTTTGGTAGAGATGAGGTTTCACCATGTTGGCTAGGCTTCTGACCTCAAGTGATCTGCCGTCTTTGGCTTCCCTCACATGCGTGAGCTGCCATGCCTGGCCTAATTTTATTTTTTAAATATGGAGATTTCAAAAATGAAGAGCCTCCAGAAGAAATGCGCTAACCACCCTTATTGCCAACTGAAGCATTGGGTTTGAGCTCTGGGGCAGGACTGTGTAGGTTTGAAACCCAGCTCTCTGTTTTACCAGCCCTGTAACAGCAGGCCTGACCCTCCCTGGACCTGTTTCCTTACTTGGAAAGGAGATGATCTGAGTTCCCGTCTTGCTGCGCTGCTCATGATGAAGTGCCCGCACAGGGCCTGCTATCCTCCCAGTTTCCACACCCCTCTCCATCCTTCTGAATTGCTCTCTCCAGGGCCAGGGCACGGGAACAGGGGCTTTCACAAAGCTCCCCGGGTGATTCTAAAGCACTGAGGTGCTCAGGAAACACTGTCCCTGAGCATCTCTGTAGGAACTTAAGCTCGGGGGCCCAGGGGCTGTGTGGCAAGGTAGCTACTGATCTGAACCTTCACCTTGTGGAACCAAACGGAGAGGTCACACACTGGCTGACTCACACTCGATGGTCTGTCACTGCGAGGCCTTTTCTGGGTCACCTCACTGCCAGACCTGCTTTCCCACTGCCAGAGTCGCAGTAACCTCTGGCTGAGGGTAACAAGGTGGCCCTGATTTTCACTGGGGGGTACTCACATCGCTGGCCAGCTTCTCGTAGTCCTCCATCAGGTGCTCATTCTCCTGGTTGACAGCCAGCACCTTGCAGATCCGGTTGGCAGCAGTTTCAGCCTGGAGGGGATCGCACAATCAGGGCTGCCTGGGGCTGGCCACCCTCCCTCCTGACAGGCATGTCCTTTGAAAGCAGCTGGTCCATGGCCCACAAAATTCCCCACAGAGGGGAAGGAGAGGAAGCTCAGCTCCAGCAAGATGGTGCCCTGTCCCAACAGGCCTTGTTGGTGTCCTCACTGCCAACTGCAAAATGCCCCCGTCCAGAGAGCCCAGACCCAGCAGGCACTTAGGGTTGGGGAGCCCTCCCTCTGCTGCTCGAAAGCCCTCTAGTGCCCCACACAGAGAAGGGTGAGGCTGGGTAGGTCAGTTGCATTGGACCTAAGACTGCAGCGGAGTCTCTCCCAGTGGGAAGGTGAACAGATGGGAGGCTGAGAGCTGGAGAGCTGGGGGCAGCGGAGCAGGAGCAACCGGACCCCGGAGGAGCCTGGTAGTCCATACACAGGAGCACACTCAGGCCTGTCCTCTCTGCTGTCCTTGGAGGCAGTGTTACAGGAGCTCCAGGGGACAGAAGTCACCATCTGGGGGGCAGAAGAGTGCTGGGGCTTTGAAGGGCAGGAGTGGTGGACACAGTCCCTGGGCCTGAACTACAAGAGAATGTTGTGCCCTGTCCTGCTGGGGAGCAGTGAACAGGGGCGGGGGCACACACAGGGAGTGGAGAGACCAGGTACCTTTCAGGAAGCACAGAAAGAGTCCAAGAAGAGGAGTTGAAACGGCAACAGAACAGGAACAGAAAGAGTGAGGAGGGTCTACAGAGTGATGGGGAAGGAAAACAGAGAGGCTTGGCCGATGGCTCAGAGCCAGCACTGCAGGCAGCGACGCCCAGCCTCTCCCCTCCACACGAGGCACCTGGAGACAGGCGAGGAGGTGGGGGGCAGCTGGGGCTCATGTGAGCATACACACGCATGTGTACACCCCGTGCCATGCTGCGGGACACACACCCAGGGCCCCAGGCAGTACTCCTTGGAGATGAGGTCCAGGAGATTCCTCGGCTAATGAACATGGGCCCCAGAGCAGTGTGGGAAACACAGCCAGGGCTGCTGCTTGTAGGGGTCACAGAAGCTGTACTCTTGACTCCTAACTTGGCAGAGACAACTGGCATCCAAAACTAAAGTCCACTCTGTGAGCATGGGGGGCTGCTGTCGGGGCAGGGGAATCATGTTTCACCGCTGAGTTCCCACAACCAGCTCAGGGCTGGGGTGCTGGCAGCGCTCAGGGTTGCTGAATGAATGAGTGAATAAAGGAATGAGGTGGGAATGCTTCAGTGACTAGAAACAAACAATCAGGACAGAATGGACACACCGGCACTAGGCCTGGGGTTCACCCTGCGTTTATAAAGCACGAACCTCAGAGAGCACTCTTGCAAGGGCTTGGACTGGGTCTTTGGGGAAAGGACACCACAGGAGCAGAGCATGACGAGGCTGTCCCGAGGAGCACACAGGCTCGGTGACCCAGCACTTTCCTTCCTGACTGGCCAGCACCCTGCAGCCAAGCCTCCGCTTCCCCCTCAGGAGAGGGTCCTGGTGCCTTAGCACCCTCCTATGCTCTGACCTGGGGTCGCCTGCCAGTCCCTGCTCCCCCAAATCCCTCAGAGCCTGCAGACTGGAGTTCAGCCGTAAGCACTGGGGAGCAGTGTGGATAGAAGAAAAAGCAATCTGGTGAGGCCGTGTGGTGGGTGGGAAACTGGCCTGGGGTCCACAGGGGTGAGTCCAACGGCAAATGTGCGGTTAGTTGCGGTCTGTGGTGAGGAACTGTCCATTGCTGCCCATCCCTGCCCACCTTCCTGCAGGGGTGTGGGTCAGGGGTCTTCCCTCCACCCTCCCTGCCAGTGCCCTCCAGCAGAACACTCCAAACATAAGCTCCAATCGCATGCTGAGGTGAAGAGGTGATGAAATGTGCCTTTGTGGCCCGAAGCTGGGAAGAACCACCCTCCTCAAGACTGTGACTCCCCGGCTGCCTACAGGGCACCTGTCATGCCAGGCACTGGGCTAAGCCCTTCACCTGAAGGAGCTCGATTCATCCCAAAACAATCCTGAGACCGAACTATAGCAATGCCCATTTCACAGATGGGGAAGCTGAAGTCAAGTGACCTACCCAACATCACAGTATCAAGAGGTGGCAGAGTGGGGCCAGGCCAGACTTAATGGTGGGTAATGCACCTGCTAGACGGGGGGCTAGAAGGTATGGCACTTGTCCTCTAGCTTTAGGGACAGCTCGCTGCTTCCCTAAACTTCAATTCCTTCTCTCTCAAACGAGGCTAACTGTGCCTAGCTCTCCTGGGGGTATGCACAGGGACCCTTTGGAAGCCTGTGCATGTGAAGGCCTTGGAGAGTACCTAGCATGTAATACACACTCAATAAACAAGAATCAATTCTGCCACCTCCTCTGCACCTGTGCCAATGGCTGACACCAAACCAGGCATTGGGAGTGCTGCCTGAGATACTTCAGAGACCACAAGGCAAGTGGAGGGAGCAGTGCCCGGGCCTCTGCGTGGATGGTGAGGGTCCGGCAGGAGCTGCAGGGCAGCATGAGGTCAGCCAGGCCCAGGAGGGTGGCCACTGGCACACACACTCTGCAGGCTCTGCCTGGCCTCTGGAGGGTCAGGACCATGAATGCAGTTCGGGCTGCACATGCTGAGACTTTCCTGGCAGGTGAAGCCAGGCAGAACTGGGGTAAAGCCCAGCGCTCCCCATGAAAAGGCTCGGCAGGGGTAGGCAGGCAGCCCTGGTGCAGATGATGGACAGAGTGAGCGGGAATGCCGAGCAGTCAAATACCAGCTCTGCCACTGACTATCATGCAGGGCTTCAGTTTCCCCACCCGAGAGCCTGGGATGCCACCACCCACCTCCCAGGGTGGGCTGTGTTCAAACAGAGAAGGTCTGTGGCTCCTCAGCACAGGCCCAGCACCGGCCAGGCAGGAAACCTGCCCCAGGGGACCATTCCAAGTTGGAACCTAGCAGGGTCAGTCTGCGAGGTGTGGCAGCCCATGACCTGGCCAGGGTTCCAACCACAGATGGCCATGGTGGTAAAGGCAGGTCTGTAGTCCCAGCAGCGAGCTGTGCCCAGCCCAGCTCACCTTCTGAGCCCCCGAGAAAGCGTGGTAGAAGCAGGACACGTAAGTCATGATAGCCTTCTCATCTGGCCTCAGAGTGCCCACAATATCTGCACAGAGAAAGAGAGAAAGAGAGAGAAAGGCAGGAGAGAGTGAAAGACGCATGGAGGGCGGACGGGCCAGCCCGAGGCTCATGCGGGAGGAAGAGCACTTGCTCTGGACTGGAAGCCAGCCCCTGGGCCTGCGTGGGCATGCCTTGCAGAGATTTGCTGAGTCTGAATGGGGTATGTTCCTTTTCTAACCAGGCCTGGGCTGGAGACAGACTAGCTTCGGGCTCTGTAAAGGCAGCTTTGTTTTGGGCTGGAGGAGTCAGTTGCTAAATGATCTGTCTGAAAATGTGAGTGAGCACCTACCATCATGGAGTAAGACCCTAAGGGGCTCCTGTGGCCTCAGAGTGAAACACGGAGTCTTATCCCACACCACAAGGGTCTTGTGGGGCCTGACCCATCACTGCCTGTCACTCACTCCTCCTTAGCCGGTCCTTGAATAAGCCGAGCTTCTGCCTGTCTCAGGGCCTTTGCTTGTGCTTTACCCGCTGACTGGAACACCCGTGTCCCAAGCTGCATCTAGCAGCTCCTGCTGCAAGTGCCTGCTCATGTCACCCTTCCATGTTGACAGTGCCAGCTGAAGGTCACCCCAGCCATCTTTGTCCCCCCATCTGGCCCCATGTTCTCTATTCCACTCCTATAACAGGCCTGCTGTGTGTCTCTCCCACTAGCATGGAAGCACCCTGCGAGCGGGGACCTTGCCTAACCCGGTTACCAGGGTATCCTCAGTGCCTGGAAAAGAGCCTGGCACAGATGAGGTACCCGATAGGTGTGTGAGCTAAGGCTGAGGAGGCAGCTACGCCAGGGAATGGGGGGTGGCTTCCAATCCGAGAGAGGCCACTGCCGTCTGCAAGAGAAATGAGGTGAGCACGGGAGGTGAGAGGCAGCGGCAGCATTGCGTGGTGGCGGCGAGGAGGGCCTGCCTGGCCCTGCCCGGTACCTTCTGCGCTCCCGAAAACGCATGGTAGAAGCTGGACACATAGGTCATTATGGCCTTCTCGTCGGGCCGGGCCGTGTTCACGATGTCTGCAAGTGAACAACAAGGGTTAAACTGCCCGAGTGGGGCGGGTGGTGGAGGCGTCACTCACTGGAATCCAAGGGCTCCCAAGGCCACGGCGTTGGGGAGAAGGACCCGCAGAGACTCGGATGGGCTCAGCCACACCCTCAGCCCCTCCCTCCCCCATGGCTCTGGAAAGGTCAAGGCTGTGGGAAGCAGATTAAAATGAGGCCACTTCCTCTCTCTGAGAATGGCCTCAAGGAGCAGCAGGACAGTCAACTCCACAGGCCTCCAGAGGCCAGAAACACAGGTCCCGGCCAGGGCAGTGCATGGCTGGGAAACGGAGCAAAGCCGGAAAAGGAAAAAAACAAAACACTCCACTCTGGTGGGCTCCATACTCCATGCCTGCTGCAGGTAGGGAGAGAGAGGCCAGGGTTGCTCACAGGAAGCTTGAGGGGTCCCCTCAGCCACTTTGCCCTTCCCAGCCTTGCAGAGATGCAACCCCAGGAGAGTTGATCCTTCAGCCACCCGCCCCCAACCCTTCTCCATCCCTGAAGGCCTCTGGTCTGCCCAGGCTGCCCTCGCTCAGGGCCACACGGCTGTCCCCAGTTCACCTGGATTCATTCAGCCCTTCTCACTGGCTCTGCCAGCTCCCTGAGGTGACCCAAAGCTCTAATGTGCCTATGGGGCCTCGCCCAAGGCTGGCCCTGAACAGACAGGGTCACCAGGAGCGATGGCTGAAGAGATGACTTACCCTCTGCATCCAGCATTTTGGGGATATCGAGGTATTTCTCGGCCACTTCGAAGGCATTGTTCAGGTTGGTGACAGGGTCGTCCTGGAAGGAGGCAAGTGGGGGCAGCAAGAAGAACTCCATCAGGGCAGGTCCAGGAGCAGGAGGGAGGCAGGGCTGGCTCAGAGTGAGGGACCCAGCAGGGCTAGGGCTGGGGGTATCTTCAGGCAGTTCTCAACCACGTGTGCTGTGTGAGCGGAAGGGCACTGCCTGGATAAATTTAATCCCTACACACGGGGCGCCTTGTGAAATCTCTGTGAGACAAACCATGGGCTTTTTTCTAAAAAAAATACAGATGTACTCTTTTCATACAATTTCCAGTCACCTACCGACCCTAGATTAAGCCCCCTGCCCTGAAACTTGGGTTTTCACATTGACCGGAAGTTGTGGGCCAGGCCTCAGAGAGCACTGGAGACCAGGCAGGGGGAGCAAACCCAGAGCTCCAAGGTCCCAACCACCCTTAAGTATCCTCCAGCCCTCTCATAGGCTCCCTACTGCTTACAGGACTAAAGCCCACTGTATCCCAACTCTCCCTGGCCAGGGCCCAGCTCCCTTGCTCGCTGTGGCTGGAATGGGCTAGGTCTGTTCTGGTACCTCCCCAGGGAAGCCCTCCTCTGGCTCTAAGTTGCCTCTTCTTCCGGGGCCCTTCAGGACTCCTGACAGCTCAGGGTTCGCCAGCCTTCTCTGCGACACTGCTCTGACCCCATGCCCTGCCACCCCATTTGACCTGAGCATATGTACACAGCCTGGTGTGGGGCTTGGCTTGGACACAGTTTTTGTCCTGTCTTCCCCATGAGGCTGGCAGCTTCTGGTGGGCAGGGCCAGAGTCTATACAGGCTTTGTTCAGGCAAATGAGAACAGGACCCTGCACAGGCAACATGGATTGGCAGTGATGGTTTGGAATTCCTTGCCCTCTTCCCCTTTGGGCAGAGAAGGTTCTAGAATCCAGAAGATTGAGGAAGGGAAGTTATAAAGCATTGCTGGCCAGGTCCTTTAAATAACCCTGGGTTGGTTGGGATACCATGGAGGGAGACTGGACAGTCCCCGAGGGAAATAAAAGAGGTGAGAGTCAGCCACCAAGCCAGGGGTTTGGGGTTTGGCAGAGCCTGCACAAGGCTCTTCTAGCCCACCCATCTGCGTATAGAACCCAGATCTGGAGGCTGGTGATGGATGGGCATGGGGATGGTGACCCAGAGTTAGGGGGTCAGATAGGGCGCCTGTAGGCCATCAAGGGGAGCAAGAGACACCCACCTTCCTCAGCTTGTCATACTCAATCAGCTCCGGTCTGTGCCGGTGGATCAAAGCGTTGAAGGCAAGACCGTCCTTCCAGCTGGGGAAGGAAAGGCAAAGGTTATAGGAGGCCCTGCTCACTGTCTCAGGAGTGCCATATGGCCCTACGCACCCACAGCAGTGACTAATTCCCATTTCCTGAGGTCTGGCCTGTGCCAGGCACTGCGTAGAGATGGTGTAGCAGAGAAACTGAGAGCATGACCTCTGGGGCCAGGCAGTCTGTGACCAAATCCTGACCTTTCCACCTACTGACAGTGTGACCTCGGGTAAGCCATGCTATCTTGGTTTCCACGTCTGTACGATGGGGATAGTAACATACCTGCTACATAGAGTTGTGGGGGTTAAATAAGTAAATGCTTGGATCAGGGCCTGACTCATCACAGTTGCTTGATAACTGCAGCACCCTCCATGGGAGGCCACCCTGAACAGGACAGACCGCTTTTGGGGGAGGCAGCCACTGCAGGAGGCCAGTGCCTGTGCTGCGTGGCCTCCGCACTCTGGCTGACCTGACTCGCAGGAGGGCCAGTCCGTGGGCTGGCTAAACTCTAGGCCGTCGCTCGGCATGCAGATCTATGGAGGAAAGGGACCCTCCCCAAGTCCCCAAGTTGGTCAGTTATAAACTAGATGGGTCATTCTCCTCCCTGAGACCTTCCCTCTGGGGTCAAGCTCGTGGGACCTCCTTGGAAAGGCCACCCAGGGAACTTTCCTCATCCGACTCCCCTGTCTTTGTGCAGCACTTCTCACTGAAGTTACGCTGCAGGATTCCCAGCAGTGGTATTCATGGCTGGTCCCTGCACTGTGGTGTAAACCTCCCACAAACGGGGACTTCGTTTGGGTGCCACTGTATCTCCACTTTCGGCAGGCAGTGGGCATGCCGGATATTTACTAGTTGAAGAAAGGAGTGGAAAATATAGAAAGATTCAGCCAGTTTGTGGCAGGAAAAGGAAGACAACACATGGCGCAGAGTGACCAAAGGAGGGACCACATGCATTCAAGTCGAGCACAATAGGAAAGGCTCCCTGCACCCAACAAAGGTCCCGGAGAGCCTGACGCTGCTGCAAATCCCACGAGGCCCTGCTCTTCATCCCTAGGCAGGTCCACCCAGAAGACTGTGGAGCCACAGGGCAAACCGGATCTGACCTCAGGGCCGCCCTTAGAGCCGGTACTCCCAACCACTGGGCAGACCCACCTCTTGCCGCATGCTGGACCTCATGTGGCACTGCCCATGCTTGCCTCAGTTAGGGTGATGATGGACATGTCTCATCTCCCCCTCACCCTGACGGAAGCAGGTTCATGGCGGAGCCGAGGCTTGTTCATCTTAGCAGCCACAGAGTACATTTTTCCCCAACACTAAACTCACTAGCAACTCTAAAAACAATTCACTTTTGAGCTGTCAAAATAAAGGAAGAGGCCAGGGGCAGGCAATAGCTCACATCTGTAATCCCAGCACTTTGGGAGCCTGGGGCAGGAGGAATTCTTGAGCTCAGGAGTTCAAGTCTAGCCTGGGCAAATACGGAGATCCTGCTCCTACTAAAAATAAAAGAAAAAATTAGCCAAGTGTGGCTGTGTGTGCCTGCAGTCCCAACTACTTGGGAGGCTGAGACAGGAGGATGACTTGAGCCTAGGCTAAGGCAGCAGTGAGGAGTGATCACATCACTGCACTCCAGCCTGAGTAACAGCACAAGACCCTGGCTTGGCTGGGTGCGGTGGCTCACGCCTGTAATCCCAGTACTTTGGGAGGCCAAGGCGGGTGGATCATGAGATCAGGGGTTCAAGACCAGCCTGGCCAACATGGTGAAAACCTGTCTCTACTAAAAATACAAAAATTAGCTGGGCATGGTGGCACGTGCTTATAATCTCAGCTACTTGGGGGGCTGAGGCAGGAGAACTGCTTGAACCAGGACCCAGGAGGCAGAGACTGTGGTGAGCCGAGATCTCACTACTGCACTGCACTCCAGCCTGAGCAACAAAAGTGAAACTCCATCTCAAAAACCTGTCTCAAAAATAAAATGAAGAGCTTTATTGTTGCTTCTGAGAGTCACCTTGCCTGGGGAGGAAGAAGACTCTGTGAGGCCAGCGAGAGGGCTGATCTTACTGCCTTCAGCCTGGATGGCTGGGAAACTGTCTCCTCTTCCTCAGAGAGGACCAGGCGACCTTTCCATGGGCTTGCAGGGCTCATGGCAGGGGAGGGGCTGGCTGAGGGCTGGCATCTCACAGACCACAACAAAAACACAGGAAACAGGGCAGGTGGGAGGAAGGATCTCAGGTTCCAGAGGAACTGAGAGGATGAGCAGGGCTGGGGCTTACCTGATGTGGAAGTTCTGCACATTGACGTTCTTATACGGGGCTGTCTTTCTCTGGCACCAGAGAAGGAGCCCTTCTTTGGCCGAGGTCTCTGCAAAACACACAAGGACAGTGAGCACTGGCTCAAAAATAAACCCTCAGAACTCAGCCCAAGTTGGATGGGACTTTCAGCCTCAGGCCTGGGGGCCAAACAAAATCCAAGAGGAGAGGACATCAGTTTTAACACAACAGCAGTGATAGCAGTGAGACGGCCACTCCCATTCCAGATGCAGACAAATGATGCCAGGCCTAACTGCCAGGACATATGGCCCAGCCTAATCCTCACGGCCCTGAGGAAAGTCGCTTGACCAGGGCTGCCCCAGGAAGTGGTGGCATCAGGGCCTGAATCCGTGCCGTGTGCCCAGCCACCAAGTCTGTGCCTCTCACTACCAGAACACACTGCCAGACAATCCCTTGACACCGGCCTTGGCCTCTTTTGAACAAGCTGTGGACAGGCCTATGGGGCCCTTCTGTTCTCCATGGACAGCTTGGCTGTCCTCACAGACCAGGAGCCCTGTGAGGGTAGAAAGCACATCTCTCCCAGTCATCACTGCCACTTGGCACGCAGGAGCCCCTGCACGCTGGCCCGGGTGGCTCTGCCCAGGCCCAACTCTATCACTAGTCTGTTCTGGGATTTGGGTTCTTAGACTGTAAAAGGGGCCCAGCCATACTCAGCCACCTCATGAGGGTGGGGTGAGGGTCCACTGAGATGAGGCTGTGAGAGCAAAGGCACTCAGAGGGCATTGGAGCCAAGGGGCGAGTGGCTGGGAGGGGCCTCCCTTCACCTGCCACCCACTGACTACTCCTGCGAAGGTCAGGCCCTGTAAGTGACCCCCAGGAAGCAGGAAAGAGGCCTGAAGCATGAAGACCACACTTCAACTCTCCTCTAACCCGCCTGACTCAGGTGGGAAGGAGGGCAATACAGGTGGCTCTCACCTTCCACGGAGATGTCCTGGATAGCAAACCTAAGGATGATGGTCCAGATCATTCCCAGGGTCATCTTTGCATTGCCGTCCACAATCTCTGCACACAGGGAAGAGCACAGGGAAGAGGGCAGAGGGCAGAAGGTTGTTAAAACCAGAGTGAGGCTCCTCCACCCAACCTGAAGGTGGCCTTCCAGCCCCATCTAGAGAACGGCTCTGAACCATCCCCCAGCTGCATCTCCCCTAAGAGAAAATCCACGGAACAGTCTCTGGGCTGCACAGTTCTGCAGCCTCCTGCTGCTGAGCGCCTGCAGGCTTCTGGCCATGAGTGTCCCTTGCCCCGCAGCCAGCTCATTCTCCTGACCCTGCTCAAAAAACTGCTCCTCTGAGAGGCTGGTCCTAGGCATGTGGCCTCCATTCACACTTCTCTCAACTCAGTGCTCTGTGCATTCTGCCTTCATCTGTGAACCTCCGATTACAGGGGGGTGCCCCAGGCTTCTGCTCTCAGGGCAAAGGTGGTCTTTTTCAACTGGTCAGCAAATATGCACTACATTATTTTTATTGTGAATCTATCCACTTTCTTCCAATCCCACTGCCAATACCCTTGTCCAAGCCACTGTCATCTCCAGAGCTCAATGCGGCTCCCCACCCATAATCCACATCGACACAGCAGCCAGCATGGTCAGCTTTCTTCTTTTGAGACAGGGTCTGGCTGGCTGGAATGCAGTGGTGTAGTCAGAGCTCACTGCAGCCTCCACTGCCTGGACTCAAGCGATCCTCTTGCCTCAGTCTCCCAAGTAGCTGGGACTACAGATGGCACACCACAACGCCTGGCTAGTTTTTAAACTTTTTGTAGGGGCTGGGTCTTGCTATATTGCCCAGGCTGGTCTCAAACTCCTGCTCAAGTGATCTTCCCGCCTTGGCATCCCCAAGTACTGAGATTTGCAGGCATGAGCCACCGTGCCTGGCACAGGGAAAGGGCTTGTCCTAAAGGCCCAGGCCCTGCCATCCTCCCAAAATTCTCTAGCTGCATCCTCTGGGCAAGCCAGGCTCTTTCTTGCTTTGAGAAGCTCATACCTTCTGTCTACTCACAAAGCACACCCCCAGCCTGCAACCCCCAACTGGCTGATCCTTCTCAACGTGCAAGCCTCTGCTGTCACCTCTCACGGTGGCTTCCCTGACTGCCCATCCCAAGGAGATCCCCTACCTGCCATCCCATTCCTCTCTCCCTGGCCCCTGTGCTGTCCCCCAGGCATTACCATGTGAAATCACGTGTTGGTTGGACTATTTACTTGTTCACTGTCTGCCTGCATTCATGAGGGTGGGACTGCTCTGACCACCACTGTACCCAGTGCCTGGAAGGTCAGTAAGGAACAAGCGCAGCTGCTGTGTTGTCAGGAAGGGGAGAGCAGGGGCCCGAGGCCAGGTGGCCAGGCTGCACGCTTTCTGAACTAACCTAAAAACAAACCTTTGTGGCCAAGAGTGGTGGCTTAATCCCAGCATTTGGGAGGCTGAGGCAGGCAGATCGCTTGAGGTCAGAAGTTCGAGATCAGCCTGGACAAGATGGTGAAACCCCATCTCTATTAAAAATACAAAATTAGCCAGGCCTGGTGGCAGGAGACAGGAGAATTGTTTGAGCCCAGGCGGCAGAGGTTGCAGTGAGCCGAGATAGCGCCACTGCACTCCAGCCTAGGCGACAAGAACGAGACTCCACCTCAAGAAAAAAAAGAAATTTTGCTGAAACTTCTCAAAAGAAGAGCTTGACTACAGCTTCTTCAGCCTCAACAACTTAGAGAAAAACCATCTCTGCAAGGCCTAGGGCAGCTGTGTGTCTGCGGCTGGGTGAGAGAAGGGAGTACTTCATCCCAGAGTCCATCAGCCAGGCATGCCTGGGGGCATTCGTTTCCACTTTGTCAACATACCAGATGCAAGTGGCATGGTGACAAGGCTTCCGAAGAAGACAGAGGGGCTCCATTGCTGCAGCCACTCTCGGCGAGGGGCTGGGCAGAGGGGTGAGTTCCAAAGCTAACTGCAGAGCTAAAGGCCGAGGAAACCACAGGAGACCCTGCTTACCGACCTCTGAGCAGAACACTCCAGGGCAGGCTTGCTTGGAAGCAGGTGGAGAGGTCATAGAGAAGATGGGGACCACCTTCCCTGGGGATACACCCAGAGGAAGGGGGGCACTCCATGAGCTACAGCTGGGAAGCTCCCACAGCAGGGTCACAGCTTTTGGGTTTTGGGAGGAGGAACTATGCTCATTCTGCTGCCTGGAGACAGGGGAGGGACCCAGTGTCCACCCTGTCTTCCGGTTCAGAGCCCCAAACCCAGAAACTGAGCAGCACCACCTGCCCCTTAGTGCAGCAAGGCAGCTCAAGCCTCAGGGAATCTATGCTATGCACCTCCCGAGAGCTGATCCTGCAGAGGCAGGCCAGGCTGCAGCTCCCCAGCCCAGTGGGTACAGCTGGTCACGGAGGGCTTATGGAGTTCCAGTGAGGCGAAGAGGGCCGCGTTTCTCATGACACATCCACCAGCTGCTTCTCCGACGTGCAGCTGTGCCTCTGGCCCCTCTCATCACACCCACAGGGAAGACATGCTCCTGCAACTGCCCGACTGTGTGGAAGGACGGGGGGACAGGGTAGGACAGGGTTCTCAGGTACTCTGGGACCCAGGAATGCCTCCATTTGTTCCAAGGCCCCATGTTCGCAGGGATTGGGAATGAACCAATTTGGGCATGAGAAGAAAAGTTTTAGACCAAGTTTTTCCCCAAATGAAAACTGATGACCGCCACGGGTCTGTCCTCTAAAGCCTTCCGTATTTGAAGACTAGCATTTGAGCAAAAGAAATGCAGCTGTGAGAATGAGAAGGCTGGAGCAGAGCCCAGAGGAAAGATCCATGCAAGGACAGAAAATCTCAGGGCCTGACTGCATTTTTGGGTTGTGATTTTTTTAAACAAACACCAACCACCTCGACTGTGGCATGCAAGGCTTGGCACCCCTCCTCACAGAGGTCCTGGGCTGGGGCAGAGCCTTGGAACTCAGTATACACATTCTGGCCCGGAGTCTTGGCCAAACTCTCAGGCCCCTGTCATTAATGGCAATTAGTTTTCTTTGTTTTTCTAAAAGCTGGGACAACATGGATGTCAGGGTGAAGAAACCCTGCTCTGACTAATGAGCGGAACTGTGGGCCCAGGCTGCTGGGGAGTTTCTGGGCTCCATCAGGCCTCGCCTGTCTCTAAAAGCGCCTGGGAGCTCAGCCCAGAGGTCCTGCTGAGAGTCCACTCCGCTGCTCTAGTGAGGGCCTGCAGGTGGTGGATTGTGGTCCCGCTTATCTACATGGGGCCCAGGAGGATCCTCGGGTGGTCAGAGAGGCCAAACTCTCCAAGCCTGTGCATGCAGGGCGAAGTCTGAGTACTGACCTTTGGCCATGCACTCCCTAACCCAATGCCTGACACAGGGCCTCCAGTCCCCTTCTCTGATTCCGGGCAGGGAATAATGGCAAAGGTGTTCCTGGTACAGAGAGAGGCCATGGCACAAATTTGTCACTGTCTGCTAAGCCTCGCCCAAGGAGAACCAGTGAGGGTGACCTGAGTCCGAGTCAAACCATTCCTCCCCCTGCAGAAGCCACCGCCCCTCGTGGTTGGGTGGGCTACACTTTCCAGATTTGGACTGCGCCCACTGGATTTTTCCGAAGGGTTGGGGGAGCTTATGGGCCCAGCATGGTATTAAGAGTAGTCATTGTGATCACCGCTGAGTATGTACGGGGGCTTTGAGTGCCCCAAGTGCCCTGTCACCAACAAAACTTCTCTTCAGAATGCAGAGGTTGTGCCTCAGAGCCTGAAGGTCAGAAACTGAGCAGGACCCTGGCTGCCCCATCTCCAGCTCACCTTCCGCCCCGATGGAGACCAGCTTGACGCCTTTGCTGGCGATAAAGTCCAGCGCTTTGTTCACGTTGTTGATTTTGTGCACTCTCATCTTCCCCCGCTCCGGCTTAGGTAACCGCTCCCCTGAGAAACAGACAAAGAGAGAAGCCTTAGAGTTTCCTCTGTCCTCCAAAACCAGGTCCCCCTGCTGGCCCACCAAACCACTCCAGCCCCACCCACCAGGCTGCTGTGCAGCTGTTAAGGCTGCATCCCCAGGAGCAACAGAACAGCTGGGTGGGCAGCATCACTGTGGACCGCTGTGGCTGAGTACCTGTGCCAGCGCTGGGCGGCACTGCGTGGCTGGGAGCCTCACCTGATATGACCTCCAGGAGCAGCATGAGCTTGAGCCCATCTCGGAAGTCCTCATCTATGTTCTCGATCTGTGTGCCTGCCTTCCGCAGGTGGGAGTTGCACCACGCCGTGAAGGTCTGGGGAAGCAGAACAAAGGGTGGTGCACAGAGTCAGCCTGGCCATTGGAGCTCTCTCCACACACCTGCAGGGCCCCAGCCCCAACCTCAGAACTGCAACTGCCACAGAGCACTTGCTGACACTGTCCATGCCCAAGACACACATTCTTACTGATCCTCACAGTGACCCCAGGAGGCAGACTTGAGGAAACTGAAGCTCAGGTAGTTAACGACCCACCACAAGATCATCCAGGTGGTAAGTGGCAGAGCTTGGATTTGTACCCAAGTCTGTCCATTTTGGCACCACGCGCTTTTTCCATACCCCCAAGCTGCCTCGAGGAAACCCAGTACACACATCAGACAAAAGTGCCTCCGCCTGCCGCCTGCTCACTTGGTCACACGAACACGACTGAGCACCAGGCTTGGTGGTGTGGAATCAACAGTTTGGGCCCCTGCCTTCATGGGGCTTATGTTTTCTTGATGAAGGTCAGCCCTTCATCTGCCAGGAAGACCCACAGGCCCCAGCTGGACCCTGGCTTCCTTGACCCAGGCAGGAGCTCAGGCTGTCACATTCCAATCGCTTACACAGATACAACCTGGGTCAGGAAAGTGGCAGGAAAAGAAAAGCTCCCATAAATAGAGGGTTTCTTTGAGTCTCTCTTCTAGCTTTAGGTGGTCCAGGACAAGCCCTGAGCCCTGCGTTGCACACGTGTGTACTCTGGCTTCCTGTGAACAAGATTCCCCTCTCCTGGAGAACATGACCCATCCTTCCTACTCTTTTTTTTTTTTGAGATGGAGTCTCGCTCTCTCACCCAGGCTGGAGTGCAGTGGCACGATCTCGGCTCACTGCAACCTCCACCTCCCAGGTTCAAGAGATTCACATGCCTCAGCCTCCCAAGTAACTGGGACTACAGGCGTGTGCCAACATGCCCAGGTAATTCTCATATTTTTAGTAGAGATGGGGCTTCACCATGTTGGCCAGGCTGGTCTTGAACTCCTGACCTTAGGATCTGCCCACCTTGTCTCCCAAAGTGCTCAGATTACAGGCATGAACCACTGCACCCAGGCCTATCCTTCCTATTTTTAAGACCCAATGCAGCTTAGAGAAGACTGGAAGGCAAGTGGGAGGCAGGCCACCCTCACCAGGGTAAGCAGCCGCATCTAAGGAAAATGTCTCTGAGGATCAGCTGGAAGGGAAGGAGGGTGCTAAACAAGAAGTCTAAGTCCCTCATCCTAACAGAACAACGACGCTGACAGGGCATAAGTGCACCCAGGCATGGGGCACACAGCCTCCTGCGAGCTAGGGCATGCTCATAGACATTAGGGCCACAGAAAATCTCAGATCAGTTAACGCCAACACGCCCAGGCACCTTCAGGGAAACCAGCCCACGCACCCTCCCGCAATACGGCCTGGGAAAAATCCCAAGTATCTGCTTCTTATAGGAACCCCTGTACCCCACCTCCACCATCTGCAGGGGCCAGTGTAGAAGTGGGCAGACTGCCAGGGACACACAAGAGCACATTCCACGCCCAGGGTGCAGGCAGAGGCCATGTGGAGGACAAGGGGCTTCCATGGAGGCTCTGGCCAAGCACCATGTGTTTTGACAACTGTCGCCAGTCCTGCTTATTCAGGGAGACTCAACACAAAGCCCCTTCCCAGACAAAGCAGCTGCCTAATTAATACACCGCACCACAGTGTGGACCCAGCATGGGGCTTCCAAGCGTGGACAGCTAGACCACCCCCACCCCACCTCTCACCATGGAGGATTCCTCTGCCTGGGAAACAGAGACCTCTCCTGGTGGAACAATGCTGTTCCCCACTAAGGATACATCCGCTCCACGTTGCCCCACCATGTAGCCAGCCCTTGGCACTCCTCAAGTCAGGCCAAATGCCACACCTGGAGGGCACCCACACCATGGCTTCCCTGACCTGGCTCTGACTTGGATGCCCTCCTCCCTGCAGACCACATCCCATCCTTGCTCTCTGGTCTCTAAACAATTCCTGTTAGTCTCCCACCCTCCCATGGCTAGGAGCTCCTTGAGGGGAGAGATGAGAACCAAAGCAGGTTCTCATTACAAAGCTCACTAACTCACCTTCCCAGCCTTCCACATTCAATGGTGAATTCAGAGCGCCCAGGGCTGGAACCCTGCTTATACCACTCATGCGGACACATCACCAAACCTTCCTAACTTTCATTTCCTCCTCTGCAGCATTGGGATGAAGATACCACCTAGGCCACGGGCAGTGTGAGTACTCAAGGTGGCCACGCCTGCAGTGCACACAGCAGTGTTCAAGAAGTGGCAGCTCTCTGGATGGCCTTGTGCCTCCCAGGGTCTCCTCCCTCCCCACCCTGGTCTCAGGAGTCCTGCCCACCCCTTCCACAGTATGCCAGCTCTGTCCCGGCCTGCCCTCAGCACCACGCAGCCCTTGGCATCTCTCTGGCAGCATCCCCAGTTACTTTTGGATGGTCTTATTAGATGTTCCATGCACATGAACTCTCTCTTCTACCATGTGTGAGCTCCAAGGGGTGGGAAGCATGGCGCCTGTGTCTTTATAGCACCAGAGCACTGCCAGTCTCGATGGCAGGCAGCAAGCAGGCATGGAGCCCAGCAGCCCTGCAGAACAGAGGGCAGCAGCAAATGGGCTGGGAATGAATGGCTGTGGATGCCAGGCCTCTCCTCTCGCATGTGCCTGAGAGCAGCACTGTTGGGCAGCAAAATAGCCAAGACACATCCCACAGCCTGAAGACACAGGAAGGCTATTCCTGAGGTCGAGGCCCCCGTTCTCTGGTGTGGCTGGGCCCAGACCTAGGCACCTGGGCTGCCGGGAGGGCCAGGCATATGTACGCACAGCACCCCTCACAACATCAGCCTGTGTGGGCTGCCCCTGCAGGAGCACAGACCTGGGTTTGAATGCTTCTTTACCTATTTAAGTCTGTTTCTTTCCCTGTAAGATGGATTTATCAGAATCTACCTCCTGCAGTGTGCTCTAAGAATTAAGCATCTTAGAGAATTATTCAGTTAAAGCATCTGACACACTCCTTGGCATAAAGAGCCTAAGAGCCAGATGAATCACACACGTGTGTGCATGCACACACACACACACACACATACACACACACACACAAGCATGTGCTGTGATCCAGTCTCCTCTGCAAAGGCCCTCAGCTCACCCCCTGGTATGCAGGGAAAATGAGATGGCAGGAGACTCTGTTTGAATGGTCCCCACCCCACCCTGCAGAGGAGGCTCTGAACAAACCTCTCCCCTTGGGTTCTGGCCACTTGTCCTCAGAGGGGCTGCTGCACTACCCACTCTCCATACACACATCCCACTGCGCTCATTTTCACTGGGTAGTAAACAAGAGCTTGGGTATCACAATCCTGCCTCTGCCACTGAAGCCTTGGGCAAGCAATAAGCCTCAGTTTCCTTACCGATAAACAGGGACCATAACCGAGAGGCTGAGATAGGGATTAAACAAAATGACACGTCCATCAACACGTGTCAAAGCAAAGTCTGCTTTGAAATCAGCGGTAACTCTTCCGTGTGTTCTGTCTTCCTGACTGCATACAGACAGGGCCCCAAGCACAGAACCAGTGCTCAGGGAGGACACCTACTCGCTGAACCTGGATGACTCAAGAGAGAACTTCCACCTGGACCCGGACCTGACACAGGCTTGGGGAACCCCACTGATGGCCTCCTGGAAGATGAGGGGCATCTATTGACACCAGAGGCTCACAAAGCCACCATCGGGAACAGGGTGACCACAACAGCCACTTCTCCATGCGGACAAACCGGCAAAGAGGAGCTGGAGTTAGAATGGGACATTAAAAATTCATCGCTTTTTTTCTACTTGGTTACAAAAATAACTCTGCTTCCACCCTTCCTCTCCCTACCCAGTTTAGACTATGCTGCGTAGGGTGGATGGTGTGGAGAGGTGGTTTCTATAGATGGAGGCCCCATGCGCCCACCATGCCACCCTCCACCATGCAGTATTCTCAAAGTATGAGCAGCCGACCCTGCAACGCCCCAGGCCACCATGAGTCCGTACATATTCATTTCCTGGGCAAGCATGTGTTGGGGGTCAGCAGAGGGCCAGGCCCTGTGCCAAATCTGTAACAGTGAGCAAAAGTGGACACTCTCATGAGACTCCCAGTCTGATCTCATTAATTAAGCAATCACTCCACTCCAGAAATAACGCCCATAGAAAAACTGGTAATTATAATAGCAGTAACTGCAGCAGATACGTCCATAGCATCTACTAGGGGCTAGGCACTGCTCGAGGCACTTGGTCACTTACCAGTTCTCTCACCCTCATAATCAGCTTGTGAGGGAGGTGCTAGTAGTACTGCCTCCATTTTACAGCTGAGGAAATGGAGGGCCTGAGAGGTGAAGTGGCTTGGCCCCAACAGGCACAAACCCAGAAAGTTACAGAGCTGGATTTAAAGGCAGGTGCTTTGGCTCCCGGGCCCGCAGGGTGTTCTGCTGCATTTGCGCCCCTGCCCTGTGATGGGAGCTGAACAGCATGGTCAGCATGGCAGGGGAGCACCGAGCAAGTGGCAGGGCAGACACAAAAAGGTGAACCTGAAGAGGTCATTCTCAAACTCTGAGCTGAAGGATAAGGAGTTAATAAGACAAAAATGAGATATCTTCCAGATACTGGGAAGAGTACATGCCAAAGCCCTCCTGAAGAAGGGACAGAGCCCCCTCAGAGAAAGAAGAGAGTGAAGTAGTGAGGCTGGCAGGCTGGCCTCACAAGGCCATTGAACAGTCATGCTGTCCCTGCCATGCAGGGAAAGAGCCAAAGGGGACAAGGGTCAACATGTGATGGGCAGGAATAAAGTAGGGTGAAGAGCCCCTCAGAGAAACTCTCTCCCTCTGGCAGGAGGAAGAAGGCAGAAGTGCCCTGTCGGCACACCAGAGGAGAACGTAAACTCAAGGTTTCCATTTCATTTGGGAGCAACCAGAGCTGCTAGCCCTCTGTGGGAGAAGGAAAGGCAAAAAGCATTGAGCTCTCCTGGGC